TGCTACCCGGAGGTGCAGAGGTGGGACAACATATTAAACAGCACAAAAAAAGCAGTTCTAAAGAAATGAGTTTTCATTCGAGATGATGACTTAAAAGTGCACAGCTCCCAGTGTATTCCTAACGTCGCTAAGAAGAGCGTTCCAGACGGCCGCAGAAGCGCATCTGAAAGCGCGCGACGCTGCGGCCCCCGTCTTTGTGCGATGGTCAGCCAAAAAGCCCTCCCGCTGCGAGGATGCTGACCGCAGTTGGCGTGGGGCTTTGTGCTCCTTGGCGAGAGATGACGTGCGCTGACGATGGCTGTTGATGAGCAACATTGGGATCGTTATCCAGTGGAACGCCGGTTCCATCTGCCGGCGGGGCATTTTGTTTTAACCGCAAATAATCGGGCTGTCTGCACTGCCGTCGACCGCCGAGTCGCGTATTGGCGGGGCGAAGCATGGTGAACTCCCACCTCTTTGGGACGTCTAGGCCAGTGTGGAACAGTAGGCCAATATGCTTTCTAAGACGAGCTCTCCAGAGCTCTGCCTAGTGGAGGACCTTCAGCCAGCAGTGGCATGAGCAAGACATCGCAAGATATGCACTTTTTTACACAAACGTGGTTTTAGATTTAGTCAAAAACCCCATTTACTCAAAGGGTCATTGGTTAGTGGTAGTCTCCATTGAGGACCCCAGCCAGACAGGAAGGAGAAATTCCACATTACCACGACGGGTGCAGTGTGTCCTCAGCACCAATGCTGTTGACTTGACACAAAGTGGTGGTTAATTGTATCGACCCAGGAAGGAAAGATGGGCTGATTTTGACGGAACCACTCAGAACCTATAATCCACTCACTCCAAGCACAGAAACAGCTGACGAGATACGGCTCACAGGTTTGGCCTTTAAAACGTTTACTTGGTGATTTTCAGACTTCATATTAAATGTTTTTTTTTGGTGTGGTCACGTTTATTTAATTCCATGAACCCAGAATAAGGAGGTGATTGCGTCAAGCTTTCGCTGTTAATCTAAACAAGTTGCTGTGCGCCTAACATCGGACGTGAACGTGTAAAGCGCTATCCCCTAATCATCAATGACTATTCCTAGCTAAATCCACGAACCAAATCTTACGCCGATGTGAACCACTTTGCTTGCCGATAAGCCTAAGCCTATCAATAACACAGATCTCGACTCTAAACGCCACCAACCTTGCTACCGGAGCTGTCCACAGTTGGGGGTGTGGGGAGGTGGGGGCAGCGGAGGAAGGGGCGGGGTGCGCCCCCCCCACCGCCGCCTGCAAACAAAACCGGGATTATTACATCTAACACCATGACATCGAAGCGCGCCCCCCCAAATCGCGGGGCCCGGGGCGGTCACCCTTCATTCCGTCATGCCCTAGCACGGCTCTGCTTTGCTACCAACATTTTTTATCCTTCTCCGCGTCTTCCTCAACACGAGCCGCCCGCGCGGTGGTTCTCGCACTTCCTACTCGGAGTGCGTTTTTGTTGTTGCCTTTATTCAAGTTGCATTTCCTCGTCAGGATGAGAATTGCACAAGGATGTGAGATTTCCACGCAACGCTAAACCTGATGGTCTTTTTGATAATTCCTTGAAGACCGAAACCACAACCCTACCCCATGTCTAACCCCATCACGTACTATCCTAAGCATAAACACAAACCATGCGACTAACACGATCCTTGCTACTAACACGAATCATATCCTTGTTTCCCAACACTGACCACTCAATACATTTAAAGATGTATTATTACTCGAGTATTTTTTTTCCATGTTGTCAGGTTATATTCTCATGTGAACCATAATTAAAGAAACACGTGCTCTTTCAACGCAGGCTTTGCTGATTCACGGGTTTATAAACGGCCATGAGCCTCCAGCCGCAATAACAAAAACCCACTGGCTTCCTTTATACAGGTACTTGGTTTAAAACAACAACAACAAGGCTGGAGTATGTGAGTGTTGCGTGTCGTTGTTTTAAATTGTTGGGGAAAGTCGTGCAGCGGTACGGACCCGGCGACCCGAGTTCGAGTCCCGCTCACGGCCACCAACACAGGTGACGATTATCTTAATCGGTCCTGAGGCCTCCCCTAGGTCGACTCGGCCTCAAATGAGTAGCTGGTGCGATGTGTAATAATCGCGACCAGAGAGACAAAGGCGGCCGGGCGTGGTGCTGGCCACCCACCGCCTCGTGTGCCGTGTCGACCCTCGTTGGTTGCTAGCTAATTGCACTTGCCCCAACAGTCTGTTAAGGCTATAGGAGGGGGGTCATTTATTTTTGTAATGAGATGGGCTATGGATTTTGGGACAATAGCAGTGCCAATTTAGAGGGCATTCGTTATTCGAGTGGACGACAAACGTGGGGAATTCCAGTCGAGTCGGAGTCCGTGGATTTTATTTAATCGTTTTCATTGCCTAGTCTACTGAAGCAGTCAGTACCGGTACTTATGAAATGGTGGCGTGAGTGGTGTGCGATTTCTCTAAACCCAGTATTATCAGCGTTTTTAATGATGCTGCTGCGTTGGCAGTGGTAGAGAAGCAGAAATAACAAACAAAAGGTCGACACATTGGTCAATATCACTACCCCCATAAGGAAATATATATACAACAGGCAACATTTCAGGTCAGCCAATCAGGGAACTCGGTAAATGTGTAATATTCAGTTCTTTTTTTCCTGGTGGCACTGCAACGTCGAATAACGTTCACTGAATAATCTTAGTTTGCAGTATCCATTCAGACCAGAGTGGTTAATTTCGTCTCATAGTCGTGCTTGGATCTTTGGGGGTAGTGGACGCACGAGCTCACACTCGTCTCCGAGCAGGCTACAGTCACCAATGTTGAATGCCGTGGTCTCGGAATGTGGTAATGGTTTGCTGCTTTGCCCACGTTTGCATTTGGTGTTGACAAATCGGCAGGGCTTAATGTACGGTACTTTTTGTACTTCCAGATTTTCAGCGGTTTGCTTACCTTTCTCTATATTTTGCACTTAGATACAGTTGTTTTTGTGCTGCTAGCTGATGTAACACGCTGACCCGCCCCGACTCGACAACTGTGAGAGAAAAAAAAGAGCTTCATAGCTCATCGGATTCCACCTCCAGTCGAAATAAATATTCTGATTCTGAATGTATCGATTAACATGTTAATTAAACACACGCGTGAAGCTCGCGTGTACTATGTTACACTCTCAGGTTCGACCACTATATTATACTGTTTGTTTCTTTGCGGGGACATTGTTAATTCTGTTGCCTATCATCATCTATAAGCAGTGGCGAAATGCATCGCACAATATCTGAAAATGTCGAAAGGCTATATAAGAGCGGGCTGATAGAGATACCAATCCTCTACTAATGAAGTGTTACTTTATAGACTTAATTATACATTACGGCATATATAATTAACAAAAAAGTAATGTTTCATTTGCGTTTGCAAGAAGATCTCTCTCGTGGGTAAATACATTTTTAGATTGAAGGTTTCAGGAAAAAAAGAAGGCTAATGAAAACATTTCATTAGCAACACATTTGCTTCTGTAATGTTTATTAAAATTGTCCAACTTTATGAAATATAAATTGGCCGACATTAAATGAATGCCCACCTTGTACATTTCGTTACATGTTAACATGCCTGTTATTCATTTGCCATATACTGCTAACGAATGTTTTTTTTTTATGCGAAACGATACGTGTTAAAATGTTTAATGTATTATTACGTTATCCGTATAGATTTTCTACATATGTTTGACCAAGTCATTGAGTAAAATAAGTACACCTATTAGTGATAAATACTTGAACACTGCAAGACGGTGCACCGTCGGTTCGATATTAAGTGACGATGTGCATTCCTTTGCCAGTCAACTTGGGATGAAGGCACTCCCATGCCATGTCAGTCATAGCGGAGGGGGGGGGGGGTTGACCATACTTCACCACCTGTGAGCAGCAGCACGGATTGGCGAAATATTGCCCCGAGGACAGGTTCAGATTGTCACTTTGCCACTGATGTTAGCCGTGCCCGGGCGCATAACTCAGGCGAGCAGGTTCGTAACGCAGTGTGCTGTCCACTGCGTTACGGCTCCATCCCTGTTGTTGTGTTGTATTAATGCAGTATTGAGTTATGCACTTAGTTGGTTTTCTCATTGTGTGGCTAAAATGTTACATTTGCACTCACGTCAATGCGCCGATGTATGACTGCCCCTCCTCTCACACTGGATACGATATGCCACGTCACGTAATGTTATCTCGCACAGAATGCATGTGTAAATCATTCACTCCAATGTGGAATTGTACCCGAGTTAGCGATCATAATTCTGTAGCTCATTGCACCGTAACTTTAAAGGATTGCAGAATCGGTGGGTGGCCCTGTGCCATGAATCCAACATCCTCGTAAGTTAGCTTCCCGGCCACGGCTAACATCAGTGGCGAGTATAAGAGTACAGTACAACAGTGGACTTTGCTGCCATACAGACGGAGCTTCAGGCAGATAGCGGGTTTCGACACTTCCCTTAATTGAAACGTGCAATTTCACGACATTAATTTGTAATCCGTATCTAATTATACACCTCAAATTAATGCGCCATTTATATTCGAATTACACGATACATAGTTAATGATAATTGGTAATTAAATCGTCAATAACACTTCTCTAAATATAAAAAAAACGTCTATGATAGATGACAATTCGGCCAATAGTCCTCTGCTCTGAAAACGGACCATTGCCCGAAAAAGTCACAAAATCCATATTCATTTCCCCTAAAGGGCAGAAATATTGAATGTAAAATTTTTGTCATTCGTGCTTGTGCACCACTGCCAATGCAATGCCACAACAAAATGTTGTTACAGTACATTGACTCGAGTAATTTGTAATGTGAATGTATTTTGCCCATTTATGCCCATGCCCCGCCGGGTCCTTTCAGTGCCCCTTTGGGGAAGTGCCCCTTTGGGGAAGTGCGCCCTGCGGACACAAATTCCCCCTCACATTTCGTTGCGATGACACATTTCCTACTTTGCTTGGCCATGCAGGCAAGACACGCCGTCTAAAACAAGCCAAGGAGGAGGCACAGGCAGAGATCGATCAGTACCGGCTCCAGCGCGAGAACGAATTCCGCAAGAAACAGGACTCCGTAAGTATCCTGAACCACGTGGCTTGGGCAGATGTTCAAATGTAATGGCCCGCATTATTGTTACTATTAGGGTTTTTTTTCACCCTTGCAAAATTTCTGACGTAACTCAAATTGCCATTTCATGGCAGCTTCAGCACTTTCGTCAGCACTTGAAAATGCAGTAATGGCAATGGAGTGAGCACAACATGTTTGTTTTGATGATGCTCGCGCGTTATGGAATTTAGGAAAAATAGCTCAATCGAGCATCGCATCCCCTCTGGGACAATGTGATGCACGAACACTCCCCCGTGTGCCCGAGATAACGCACGTCAAGTTACAACGCCGCTGGATACGGCTGTACGTGACACTCGCAATCATAGCGTCAGGTCGAAGTGGCGAGACGTTCTGATCGAGGGTGTTCTCCCCTTCCGCTTGCAGATAATGGGCTCGCAGGGTAACATGTCGACCAAGATCGATGAGGAGACGCGGACCCGCATCCAAACCGTACGCGGGAACTACCAGACCAACCGGGAGATGGTTCTAAAGCAGCTGCTCGCCATCATCAGCGACATCAAGCCCGAGATACACCAGAATTATCACAGCTGAACAGTGGCGTGCGACTCACGGGGCAAGATGGAACCGTGTAGAATCGTTGCAGGAAATTCAGCTCGACCATCGCACGCAGCGTGTAAACACCAACCCAGCTAATAGTGTCAAAGCAGATAACCTATTTAAGTATAGCTTGCTAAAATTAAAACTAGGTTATATTTCCTCTCCAAATAACTTGATAACACTTATCATTAAGAGATATGCACATACACCTTTACCATAAGAACCTGGTTGTGTAATTTATATTTAATTTAAAATTACTGGTGTTGGATAAATACAGGTGATGATTTGTGTGAATTATTGTATAAATGCGTGTGGTGGTTGATAAAGCGTCGTCATTAAACGAATGTCCACGTATTCCAAACATCTTTTTTCATCTTATTTATTACATTACGCGTAACCAAACCACAATTGTGAATATGAATGCCATTGCTTGCCATAAGTAGCCTTTTTTACCTCTCCCAATAATCTCAAGAAGCGTAATAGCGCAGAGTAATTATTATAGGACGTCTCATTGTATTAAATACACCTGAATATCATAATCGCAAAACAAACAAAAAAATACGCAAACATTTTCTTTCGATGTTTATTAGGCAACTGGGTACATGCTATAAATGTAACAATGACAACAGAAGAACGTTTTTAACAAAACAATAAAACATGCCAGAGAATGAATCACAGCAGCTGAAGTTAAATCGATGACTATAACATGGAGATGGATTAATGCATGTGGTATCAAACACCGTTCATACCAAAAATGGAAAAATTAGTTTCAATTCAGTTGGCATTTTGAAAAATTAAGACTGAAGGTGCACAATTGAAATTTAGGCCACAGTTAATCATATCGACCACTTCATGACAAAAACATTTATTTGCTGTAAAATATTGCGCCATGGTTATGTATAGTTAAAACATAAGTTACCAATTAAATAACAGGTAGTGTTATTGATGGCAAAGATTGCTCCTTCATTTTCTACATAAAAAATGCAATTCCTTCATTGAAGAAGTATGACTCATTTATAATTTGAAAAAAAAAATCTAAGGGTGGTTACATCAGTAATATATTCCTTGATAACGCTAAATTTGTAATCGCCAAATTAAATGTCAAGTCTATGACCAATAGACAATAACTTTCCACAAAATTGCAAAGGGAAAATGCGTAACACTTTTCATGTTGTCAAGATTAAGTTTTTTTTTAGAATGCTAATTATAAGACAAGGGTAATCCGGTTAACGGTACAAACTCCACGAGTTCAAGAGTAAATGGCGGAGACCCCACACCGACTCAGTACCTTAAGGTATTTTCGCCAAGAGTGTGGACTGTTGCACGGTGGACGTTACTGACCCTGTCAAATAATTGCAAATGGTGTCATCATCATGATGCACTAAGATGAACTTCAACAAACCGGATTAACGGTCCCTTTTATTGTAAATTTCCCTGGGTCACCCTTGGTGAAGATATTGTTTGGTCACATCATGACAATATAAACTTAGTTATGTCGATGATGGCTGAATTTGTTTTTGGAAAGTTACATGTTTTGCTCATTCATAAAATATCCAATGCCAGTGCCACGAGGGCAGAATGTAACACTGAAACTTGAAAAAAAAATAACCTTTTTTTATTGTGCCATTTTCCCCATGCCTGTTCGAGCTAAATTCATGCGCCCATTTAAATCAAAAAGGTCATTGTTCAGAAAAAAACATTTTTAACTGTGAAAATAGCATATTCTTCGGTTTCAAATCAAGATTTTACCGTATTGTTTATCACCAACATATTTTCATGCATTCACTCAAGGGAAGTTGTCTTCCAGAGATGACCAGATTGTCAGCTCTCTCCCCAGCCTGTGGGGGAGAAGAAAACAATCACACGGACAATAAACTATAGAAGGCAATATAGAAAAAAAATCACCAAGTATAAAACGACAAGTCACCTATAGCTGTAATGCAAATGTCAAATCATTCATGAACAAAAAATAAGAAATAAAACGAATGTAACAAAAGCCGAGGATAGCCTGTATATCCTATGAAAGCTGTTGGGAAAAGTGCTGTTGGCGAGTGCCTATGAATGCCGGCACAACACACCAGAGGTTGGAGTCTGTCTAAAACCAAGCCCCAGCCACCTTTGTCTCTCCAGTGCTGATGTTAACACAATGCATCAGGTAATCATTTACAGCCGGGCAGACCAAGGGGAGGCCCAGGATAAGTTTGGAAATCACTCGCAAGTGATACTATCAAAGCTGGTAGCTGGGTTCATTAGCGCAGCGCATTAACCACGACACCGCGTACTCCCTTATTCACTGCCGGGAATGTCACACATTACACAACGGCACATCGTGTCACGTGTCATCACACACAACATCATCTCGAAGAGCAACGCAAAACCATTGCACGCACCTAATTCATTCCAATGCGTGCCACACCCAAGAGCGTATTTTAGAATGAACGCAGCGCGGCCCGAACGCGTGCCCAGTTTCCTCCTCGACGCATTAGCGGTGTGCCCCAGCACTCACCCTCTGAAGCCCTGGCTGATCTCTTCGACCTTGGCTGGGCTGCACACCACGGCGCACCGCGAGTGAGTCGGGTCGAACAGCCGCGTGAAATACTCGCGGCCAACGCGCCGCAGATCCTCCGCCGTCACGCGCGCCACCTTCCCGAGCAGCGTCCTGGCGGCAAGAACCACGGCGGGGGAAATTCCCATTTCACGAAGAAAGCTCCCGGGCGCGCGGTGCGAAACGTCGGACTTTGGGGTGACCAGCACGCGCGATACGGCTCATCGGAGGCCTATTCAGGAAAGCACAACCGCAAAAACTACGTGGGTTGGCGTGGGCCGTGGTGTAATAAATTATATGAGAGGATCCCTGTCCAATTGGCCCTCTGTCTTCGTAGCCCATCACCCGTGCCCCTCTGGAACGTGGACCCTGGTGCAGTTGCACCGCCTGCACACTCAGTAGCTGTGCCACCGAGTTTTTTTTTACAAATATAGTACCTACCCTGTGTGTCGGTCATTTCAAGGTACCGTACTTTTTTAAAAACGTCGTCATTCTTTTTTCCCCCCATTGTGTAATTATGCTTCGAATCTACATATCTCCTTCGAGCAGACTGTATAATGCACGAGGTGAATAACTCTGTGAGCTCCATCTCACATTATTACCAGACATCAGCTGCGCACCTTTCATTCTGCATTATCTCACATATTTACTTAAATTTGTATTTAATTTCACTCAAGGCAAGTCGTGTTTGCATGTGCGCAATATATGGCAAACTATGGGTAGGTTCCAAAATTATTTAAAGGTCATCTCGATTGCCAGGGAACGACTCAGGCGACGAGTCAAGACGAGTGCTGGATCTGTGGGCACGATGCCAAACTTGCGGCGGGCAGACCCCTTGCCCGCACGCGCATTATCAAGCCATCGCGATCTTCATGATTTGAAATAAAAGTATATTTAGCTTCTTAAAGAGATTACACATCAAACATCACTTTAATAAACATCTCAACGAGCGTAAACGATATGAACGTTTAATTGCGAGCAGACAATTATTGGCCATGAATTCCCATTTAGGCACGCATCGATTCATCGCTTAATATCCATTCTTATGCCCACGATACATGTACGCAATGATGTATCTTAAAAAAAAATTCTGTAAATTACTTGCAAATATTTGCCACTGGTGGTTACAACGACTAATAATAATTTATGGGATAGTTCATGATGTTCTCCATACATGGTTTACGCTTTTATCTCCCCGAATCCATTGCATTACAGGAAATGACTGAAGAACTAGATACAGCAATCTGCAAAGTTGAACACGAAGACAAATTTGAGGAACCAAAAGTCACGTACAACTAGCATGCTATATAACTGGGGCGGGGGGGGGGGATAACTGTAAAGCAGATCAAACTAATGAACCACTGAAGGCGATTATTGAAGGCAGACCAGGATCAAAGTGATGGCATAAAGAGATGGGGGGGGGGCGAGAGCAGGTTGGGGTGCTTTTGGGAAACGTTGACAATGAAAAGCGACAGCGCAACACATCCAGGGAAGAAAGTATTTAACCGGTGAATATCATCGGCTATGAGACGTGAAATCAGAAACATTAACACCGGCAAAGGAAATAGAAAAAAAAGCCTTTATAAATGTAGGTTTTTCATAGCAAAGACAATAACCAACATTTGGTTGATGTGGCCATACGGCGAAAAAAGACAAACACGTGCAAAGAAGCAAGGGTTGGTGCCGTTTGGACTTCGGTTGAGAGACATCAAGTGGAACACATAAATCAGAGAACAAAAGCAGGTTTGAGGACATATTGACGGTTAAACTGGTCTTGGGCAGCACAGATCACGAGAAGGGATGATAACGGCTGTTTGAGACTAACGATGAATTGTTAGCCCAAGGAGGCAACACCGAGGAGATGGAGCAATGAGATCAACTCTATCTCGTGCACAGAAGCTCGATGGATTATGACATTGTGAGACGATGAGAGAAGGCGACGACTTAAGGACGCCTTCATCCAGCAGTGCCGACAATATGTAGCTGGAATGTTGAACTTACACGTAGGCTAATGGGAGCAAACAAAACCGTACAAGTAAAAAAAGACAAAACCAACGAGATGGTAAAAGTGAAAAAAAGAGTTGAATCGAGACCCTAAATCATGACTAGAATTGTCGGCTGTGCTGGCGGGGAGGAAGATGGGGTGGCCGGGTGGGGGGGGTGTGAATCATTACACGCGCGCAGTTTACAAAATTTGCTAACACGGACAGAAAAAAGCCCAACCCCGCGGCGCTTTGACACCACGTGAAGCCACGTACTTGTTGTCCATTTTGCGGAAGCTGGACAGGAGGGACTGCAGGGAGGCCTCGGAGACGGTCGTCTCGCGCTCGATGATCTCGAAAATGACACTCGAGATGGACGACTCCAATATCACAGGGTCCCAGGGAGTAGCACCCAACACAAACTCATCCTGACGGCGAGACGCGCACGGGGGGGGGGAGACGCGCAGCCTCGGGGAGTTAAACAAAATCAGGCCGCGTGGTCACCGCGCCCGTTCTACTTGCCCGCAATCTAGGCGCGTGCCGTTCGGTGGGATTCGAGTGTGCGAGGGGTTTTTTTTTGTGCGGCAGGTGTCAAGTTTTATTTGAGCAGGTCGCGTTACGGTTTGTCGCCACACTCCGGTGAAACAACACGAGGCCTCGAAGAGTAAAACAAACAAAAAAGTTTGCCGTGGCTATAGTTATTAGCATTTAACATTGGCATTTGAATGGCCTAGGAAGAAGCTAAATTCATATAACTGACATTTAGTTCAGAAGCAGTCGCACTAGTCAACCGCTTTAAGATGGCGGCAATCCCATGGAATGTGATTTGCTTTGAATTTCTTTTGTAATTAAAGTTTTTTAAGTAATTCCCTCCACTCTGCTATTTGTACATGAGAAGGATACTGGATACCCCTGATAGCGCAGCAAAGGGCGGTTAGGCTTGGTGAGCTTGCCAACAATGAATGTGATGACTGCTCCACCTCCTGGCCACAGTCGCATCAAATTCCCCAGCAGTTTTTGTTGGCGATTAAACCTCAAGGCACGGGTGGGTGGTAGCGCTGTGGTTATCACATTACGCTACGAACCCGGCAAACCTGCGTTCTATTCCTGACCATGGCGATCGCTCAACGGTGAATGACATCTGAACTGGTCCCGGGCTCACCCTTCACCAGGCCTTACGGGCCAGCGCGAAGTATGATCAAATAACCCTTGTGGAACGAACAACCCCTCCTCGCCACAAATACTGTGGGCAGGTGTTCAACCAACACTGGATCTACAAAGGGCTGTATATTATTTTTCTTTAATTTTACGCCCGCCCACTATATTTAAATTGAACAAACGTACATATTAAGCTGGACTATCTGTCCATTCGTTACATGGCATATATAAATATAACATATGCAATTATAAGCAATGCATAGTTAGCTTATTCCAGTTTGATTCTTGTGGTACTAGCATGAGGATGCACAACACACAATGGTTATAAAACGACAAACATTTTTTGTTTAAATCAAACTTACAAATTTAGTCGTGACATGCTGTTACACTTCAGTGGCTATACGAGTAGAAATTACATTGTACAATAGAAGATTCAGGTTGTTTATGACAATTATAACTTAAGTAAGAAGATATGCAAAATCAATTACAAATTGAGGAACCCCAATGGGCTATGGTATAAAACATTCACAACAAGGCGGCCCACAACGTTCCGACAAGAAGCAGAATGGTGGCCAGGGCAGCAGACTATTCATGCAACGTGTGCACGCGTGGAGAAGTGGGGAAGCGTTGACAATTCTTCTTAAAAGGTTGAGTGCACGTGCGCTACGAGTCTAAATCAATGCGCAAGATGGCCGAGTTGCTCCGAGGACAGAGCCCTGAGCTTGCACCACTGAGATTCTGGGTTGGAATCCATGCAGCTGCTTGTGCTTAAACCGGGTTCTCAAATGTGATCGTCTAAACCAGGGGCGGAGCCAGGGGGGGTGACAGGGGTGACATTCTGCATATAAGTGTACGACACTCGGTCTGGCGGGCTCCGTGCAACTGCATTGTCAGAGTGTGTCGCCAACCGATGGCGTCTAGTTTCAACAGCCTGACTCTCTAATCATTCTTGAAATAAAAATGTGTTGAATGTCACCCCGGCTTGAAATCCTGGCTCCGCCCCTGGTCTAAACCTCCTCACCGATGACTGCGCACAAAAAAAAAACATCCTATTAAATTTGGTTCTTGAAGTAATTTGGCTAAATTCCAGCTCTGATCGCTCATCGTTGGAGTGTTTACGCGATGAACATTACTCTGTATCAGGGCAGGTGGCAAAGTGTGCCACTCACTGCAGTGTGGACCAGAGGTCACTTGAAGGGACCTCGGCAATAGTTCAGTGATATCTCCTTCCACGGGCCGTTTTTGTTCACAGGTAGCACCGCTTTCGGAGTTATCCTCTTGGATCCTTCGTCTCGTAACATTGCACGGATAGCACAGTCGAAATGTCACGTGTCATTATGTGACACCGACAGCACAATTGGAAAAAAAAAAAGACAAACAATTGTAACAAAAAATAAATGGACAGGCGAATTTATATTGCAGAGCTCTCACCAGGATCTCCTTGGCGTGCTTATAAGCGCTGACTGGGTGGCTCGACTTGTACAGCGAGAAGAAAAGGAGGCCCTGGCTGGGTACGGCAAGCATGCTGCACGGACCACAAACACAGCGGTAGGCACAAAGACAAAGATCCCCCGTACAGCGTTAACAAGTGTGTTGAGGCAAGCCCTGTTGGCGAACTCCTATGAAGGCCGGAATGGCATACGAGAGGCTGGTGTGGCTACCACCATGCCTGGCCGCCCAGTGCTGCTGTATAGACACTGCACCAAGTATTTATTTAAGCCTGAGTTGACAAAGAAGAGGCCCAGGACCAATTCAGGTATTTTACATCGATGTTAGCCGTGAGCAGGAATGGAACTTGGCTTGCCAGATTTGCAGCGCAATGCGCTAACCACTACACACGCTACTGTTCTTCACAAGCTATACACACATACACAGACACGCACATGCACGGATTCAGATCACACACTTTTCTGCAAATTCTGTGTAAACATTTTGTGGAACACTCGGGCTCGCCTCCCACTGTTCTAGTAATGATACTTTTAAAATATAAATATATAAAAAGTGTGTTTGTCACCTGTAGTGGTACGCTAGACCGAGCCCTCTCAGTTGCCTCCACATGGGGCCCTGCACAGTCACGCAATGAGAATTAGAAAACAATTCACAACTTCATTTCACAGCCTTAAAAAAAAGAAGCAAACTTAGTTTTTTTTCAACTTACTTGTGATTTTGCCCATTACACAGTAATTGGAATTTCAACATCTAACCTATAAATAGCAACATGTGCGACAACATTATTACAGCTCAATAGATAATTACAGCTATGTGTGCTGCCACATGTACATATAACACATGGGCCACTTGTCTCTCACCTCCAGAGCGGTAAGGTATTCTATAAACACCATAATTGCCGGCAGGTCTGGGTGGGTGTAGTCGGTAATGCATGGAGTGGACTCCATAACATAGCTGGACTCCACGGATCCCACTCCGATGAGAATCCCGGTCTGTCCCATTGGCAGAAGGTGCTCGTGACCCTGCGTCATTTCCAGTAGGCTGCGCGACACACACACACACACACAGCACGACGCTGCATGTTGAATTCCCAATGCCCGCACCGCATAAACCATCATCACAGTGTCCGCTGCTGCTGCTGCATTAGGCGTGGGATATCTAAACAAAGAGCGCGACAGATTCCAGGTTAATATTCTTGGTTCTTTCGGTAAAGTCACGTAGAAGGGAAACAATAATTTATTGCTGTGGTTTTCACACCTGATGATGATTGCTTGTGTTGCAGTCGAAACGTCGTGATAATTTTATTGTTATATATTTGTATTATTTTATTGTTTCCCTTCTACGTGACTTTACCGAAAGAAACAAGTATATTAATCCGTGCAGTCACGAAAGCTTTAAATCAAGATTCCAGGTTGGTCCCATCGCCAACCCGGTAAGTGTTAACGGCAGTTGCGCGGATAGCAGCTATGCGACGGTGCACTGATTTGTCGATCTAAATCGATTTGTTGGCTAATATTACGTATCAAAATGTATGTCCCTTACGATTAATGTAAGGTCAAAGTAAATGATGTTACGTTTAGACGAAAGGAGAGAACCAAATTGTATGAGGCTGAAAAATAGCGAAAAAATATGAATGACATGATGAAAATGAGACAAAGCTATTCTTTGAATTGAATTAAAGATAGCCACGGACAGCTACCATTAATTCAAAACATAAATCCCATCAACGTAACACAGAACAGACTTTGCGATGACACAAAACGGGTAGCCTCTGGTCACTTTTAATGGTGATGACCACTGCTCTATACGGAAGGCTGTTTGTGTAGAGCCTCATGGAGATCCATCCAATGTTGGGAATATGCCATGTGAGTCATGGGGGCCGCTTGACCATACTTCACCATGCTGGTCATATTGCGGCTTGGTTGAAGGGTGGCACACCCAGGACCAGTTGTTCAAGTTATCGCTCCCCACTGATGTTAGCCATGGCCGGTAATCTAACTCGGATCGCCGGGTTCGTAGTGTGGTGCCACAGCTCTCCGCAATCCATACTCTATGTGAAGATAAAACGAATCTTGGCCAGCAATGAGCCTGCTGTGCCAATGCCATGCCAGTGCACAAAAACGAAGAAGGTAACGTCAATCAGCTTTCAATGGACAAGTTGAAGTTAAAGACTCTGGGTTGCATATTTATGACTTCATAAAAATGTGAGGAAGTGGTAGTACAGTTAGGGAACCAAAATCAATGAAACTGGTTAAGGATGCAAAACAAAATGTTACTCGCGTAATTGTGTCCACTGTGCCCAAACATGCCTCCTGTAAACTCTCCCAATTTTCTGCCCCACTTGTTTTGTATACTGCACTTAGCCATTTAATTAGCTTTGGGGAAATACACCCGCAAGGCTTTAAAGTCCAACAGCTCAATTTATGGCGTGCGTTTAACGGGCAGTGTTGATTTCTTAGCCACTGGTGGTTCACTTAAAACAGGAAGCTATTGTGTGGGAAACCCTCAACCCATGACCCTACAAGAAAGCAGATAGCCAGTGGTAGCACATGGTGGTTATGCAAAATAAAAAAAAGCGACCACACGTGTTTACAACCAGAAGCCGCGATTAATCGCAACGTATTTTTTTGTTGGGGGGGGGGGGGTTCATGTGGCGTGATTGTAAACACACGCGTCTCTTCACCAAGTGAAAGGAGAAGGCGCAGGGGACTGGACGCTAAAGTTTTCATGAGCAAATTTGTTACGCTTCAAAATGCTAAGTGTGCGGTCGTTAATAATTTAGACGGCTATAATAAACCAGGTAGATGATGATGATGATAATGCTCAATAATAAATGTAAGATGTTGATGGGATTGCAAATTACAAATAATTACCAAACTCTTAACTTGTTTAACAATGTTCCAAAAGTGGGAGGAAGAAAAATTAGAAATGATACACTTGAAAATGCAGTTGTCTGATTGGATTAAACTTCCTTTTTTAACACTCTCATGTTTTAAATGTAACCATTGCGTGAATTCAAATGAGCAGTAGCTCACTGCGTGTAAAAATGATTAAAGTAATTTACAAAATGGTTTTATGTTTATGGAATACATAATTCACCTTGATCGAATACGTTTCATCAGTCACATTATTGGCTCCCGTTGTTTGTTACGTAACATACCGGGAAGACGTTTTGATATCCATAATTGTTTACAGCCAAGACATCACCGGAATTTTGTATCCTTGAAATATGCATTCATTTTTTTTACAAAGCAGTTCTATTGCTTGCAATAAACAAAACTGGCATGAATAGGAACCCTTCTACCAAACATCAGGCTAAGTGTAACAGTAAACAAAAATAAAAGCTTATACTGGGCTTCAAAAGGAAATCCCTGACCTTCTGATGTTTTAAAATCATTAAAAGGGACCAAATCAACTTTCCTTTGGACCAACCATTTGCAAGAGCCGGTCGTTGAAAGCACATTTTTTTCTGACCCAAATCGGTGGCACGATCTTGGGCGCAACAAACAGTGCGCGTGCGCAGTGCGGTGGCGGCGGTGGCGGCGGTGGCGGTGGTGCCCTGGGATGCAGACCGTGTTGCCGTTATCTCGGCTTGCGGGAAGAGAGAGCCATCGAGCCAGGGCTGCTGGGGCTGCGGGAACTCGGCTGCCAGCCAGCCCACATCGGCCGACACGTGCACGCGGAGATTCTCGGCAGACATCACCACCTCGGCCACTCGCTCCATGTCCGCGATCACCTTGGATCGCGAGCGGGCACATGACAACACAACAGCGTTACTACGCACTCTCTCTCTCTCTCCTCTGCAAACCGAACGACATTGTTCGCCACCCTAGCATATCATTTGTTGTTGTAGAATTGTTGAGCAGAGGGCCAAAAGGCCTACAACGCCAAGTGGCCAGAAGAAAATAGCACTTTAAGGTCATAAAAAGTTACTTGAAATGAGCAAGGTTATAAGAGATTGAGGCGGGGGGAGACTGGCAGTGCGAGAATAGACGCAGAAAGAGAAGAGTTTTGACCTGCGTTACGGGGAAGTTGGCAACGCTTTCAGAGAAGGAATTGTCTGAAAGTGGTGGTTAAGTGGCAATGGCCTCAGGGTCAATGATTGTGGGTAGGAGCGGATTCAATAATCAAATGCATTCGTAAGAATGCAGTGAATGATAGTGTCTTTCGTGGCCACAGAAGTGATCCGTACACAAGGCGTGCAACATACAAGAATGAAAAGGGAAAACATCCTTACACATATGATGCTTATGCCCGTATCGTGAGTTTAAAAATCGATAACAACGGCCGAATCGACACACCGTTCCACCGCTTCTCGCGGGACCCCTCATGTAGTGTGACTACCAAAGGCAGGTGAGGTGCCAGCAATCCAATGACAAACGCTGTGAGAGAAGAGTGGCTGGCAGTGTCCTTTCAGTCACCAACCATCTTACCACAGGACACAACGACGTATCGAATTCTCATGGGCTCAGGTGAAGTTGGATTTTTTTGTTTACAACGTAACAGATTTTTAAAGGAATATTTATCGGTGGTCTCAGCGTATTTTTGGGGAAACAGAGGACACCCGGTGACAAGGGACTACAGAGAAAACTTTTCTGAAATTGTTATTCGCCAGATTTACATATTGATCAGTGACTTCCAAAATGTATTAAATGTTGCACAGGCATGCAGAAACACGAGGAAGCTTATAAACATAGTTCCCTTCTTATTTATGTAAAATTGCTCATCTGCTGTTATTTCTGAAAAGCACAATTTGAAACTGTGGTTAATTATTATGGGATTTTGTCGAGTTTGCATAATGTTTCGTTTAACACATCCACAGGACTAGGACATTATCACGGCACCTGTTTTGGGTCTGTCTCGAGCCGTTTGAGCAGGTCGGTGAGAAACCTCTGCTGTCTGATCATGTTCATCTTGGTGTGGTTGCTTTCTGTCAAAAAACATTAGGAAATAAAAGCCATTCGCATCATCAAACAACTTCAACTACACACGCCCGCCACCTTTAAACATCAATAGTTTTATCAGCACCGCCATCATCATCATCATCGGTCGGCCAGTTTCTACCCACTGCTAGATGTAGGAATCCCGTGGCTGTCCGTCATGAGAGTTTTAACTATGTGTTCAAAGCGGAAGGCTCGGCTGTATCAGAATGTGACAGAGTTAACACAACTTCATAAAGTATTGAAACCGCTTAAACATTAACAAAATATGTCCCAGAATACGGAAAACAGTCTTAAGAAATTCTTTGTGCAACAAGAAAAAATACTTCCCTAAAATGTTCGACGTGTGGCAACTGCAGAGTTCTTCACCCATTAGACAAGAGCCAATGCATCAACGGGCCAAAAGTGAACCATAGCGTGGGAGTTTCTCATTAAGAGTGACCTCTGGAGCCAGTGATTTTCCATTGTCTGGTGACAAAATTTATGTGCTTTTGCAATAAGATCCCTTCGTATTACAGACGAGGCAGAAAGGCCAACCATTCGTTAAAACGTTCTTTCGCCTTTCACCGTAGCGCAATTGCCCCGACTGCACACACACACACATAACCTGATATGTTTAAATTCCCCAAGCGGTAATTTGTGGCAGTCCCAGGCGGAGGCAAAAAAAAAATGTTCATTCTCCACTTGAGACAGGAAACCACTACGTGAAGCGTTCCTCTCCATTTTTCCCTAGGGCAAGCCTCACGATCGAGCTTCCTCACCCGATGGGAAGTTGAGCTCTTTCAAAATTGCTGTGACGACCGTCGAACCGTCGCGCTTGTGTCGCGGCACTTCGTTCAGGATCTTGGTGGCCACGATCTGGATTCGCTCGGGGGTGAAGACCACCTGGTGCATCAGCTCCCTAATCCACTGCACACCTTTGCGATATTTCTGCCTGTCCACCTACGCCACAGGGGACATGGCAAAGAAGACGGTGCTTGAGTAAAAAAAAACAAAGGCAGCTGTTCAGTACGACTTGGGACGGATTCTCCCCCTACTCTTAACATCGTCGATAAGTTGCGTTCGCTTTGGCATGTACACGGAATTTTAAGAACCCCAAACATGGTCCTGTGTGACTAAGTCAACTTTAACCAACCCAATTCTTAAATACACTTGTTGTGAAGATAGTTTTTTTTCAGTTTCTTCAGCCAAAACAAATGCAGAAGCTGAACATAATCACACGTTTAAGCTAGGCAAGTGTGCTTGTATCATACATACATTCAACTGACATACATTGGTATCAAATGATATCCTTTGCCTTCCCCCACGAGTGTAATGTAAGAATGTTTTGTGAACTGTGCTCATATATACCGTGCATATAGCCAACATCCACTGTAATTATAATTCGTAGTATTGTTCATGTGTTCAAGTCTTAGCAGGTGCATGTGCTAGGTTCATGCTCAACGTGTCCTGCACTCTCACGTACCACCGTTATGCCACCGGGAAAAAAATTCCACTTTTTTTTTCCTTTGTGCCTAAAACCATAATTTTCAAATCCCGATTTTATACATGCGGGCAAGGGTTGTCATTTTGATCACGTGCCGCTCAAAGAGGTCAATAACTTCTGTTCGGACTAAACATGACATGTGTCGACCATCTGCGAACAAAGGAAGATCGGGGCGAATAATCCAACTGAATAAGTATCTCTCTGCGGGGGAGAAACTGAAAAAACCAACAAACATTACCACGGACATAAATTATTTTCCCGGTGGTTTAATTCTGGATGCCTGGCAACGAGAATTTTAAGAGGGGTGAGATTTCCAATAAAAAAATTCCCAGGCAAGTGTAAAGGAGAAGGGGTAGGGAGTGGGGTGGGGAAGAGTGATTTACACGGGGCCTAGTAAACTGTCACAATGCAGTATTGTCACCAGAAATTAGGGCTCTTTAGAACGAAATGAGCTGCATGTGATGAAGGTTGGCATGTACCAAATTATAAGCGAGAGACACGGTAAACAAATCATTAAACTGGCTCGAGAAAACGGCTTTGAGACTCAAGGGAAGCATGCGGTGGAAGTACAACTTATAAGCGATCTAAAAATCAATGAATACTGATAAAGTACAATTTAAAACTACACATTTGAAAGTTGTAAATGAAAGGAATCATAGCAGTAGTAATGTGCAACATCAAATAGGTGACTGATATGTTCAAAGGTTAACTCCAGTGAATTAATGGCACGCATAGAGGCCCATCATGAAAGCTGAAGAAAGCATGCGTATTTGGAGAGAAAAAATTGAGCATGTTTAAAACTTCTACCTACATTTTAGAAACATGCCATGTATTTTTCTTCCCCTCCATCACAGATAAAAGACCACTGTCATTGGAATTAAAGAGTATGCGAGCCAAGCACCCGGAAATGCTGCTAGCTTCAATCGCACACGACTGATAACGGCATTTATCGCCATATCATAATTATGTGCAGAGCTACGGGATTGCGATGCTCATCATACTGTAAGGCATCATCATCAGCCATGATCAATCCACTGCTGGATAAAAGCCTTCCCGAGTCGTCGTCATCTCTTACACGTCTGCGATGCAACAATCTATCGAGCACCTGCGCATCAGCTGATTTCAATGCTCCATCTCTTCCTTGGCTACCACCCAATGACTATCCTGACCATCGGTCATCAACTCTTTCAGTGGCGTGTCCTACCCAAGACCACCTAATTTTATTCAATTTAATTCACGCAGTTAATGTGTGCGTGTTCTCGAATCCATGCGTTGCTGTTTTTAGATCTCAATGTAATTCCAAGCATGCATGTCTGTTCAGTTTTCAGCTTTAGTTCAATGTTTTCCTTAACGACCACGGTGTTTTTAAACCGCCGTATGTCAATGCAGATAGTACACACTGATTAAAAACTGCCAGTGCTTGTGTGCCATGATCATAAATAGCGAGTTCATTTTATCATGCCTGCCAAAAAAAGTCCACCAAAAGTCAGTTTTTTTTTAATAAACTACAGTATATTAAAGTTCATAATGAAAGTGTCTTTTTTTCCCTCTCAGCTTTGCAATATCACCGCTGTATCTAATTACTGAGGCTCAGACACTGTAATTAATATAACTGCAAAGAGCCTCTTTTTTCCCAGTGCCATGGAAGTTTTGGAGCTCTCTGCTCATGTTTATTTTTGATGTCACCTTGAGCATGATGCACAGGAGGTGTGCGTAGCTTCCACAGAAGAATCGGCAGCCCTTCATGCCCAGCGTGGCATCGTTCTTCACAGTGTCCTCTGCCAGCTGTTTAATCACCTCCTCATGGGGCACCAGAACTAAACACCATGCAAATGTGAATGCACAGTGAAGTATGAAATGACTACAGTGTAAGCGGCTTAGAAGGCAGCCTGGGTTATGGTCCCCATTGGTTCACAGCCGTAAGATGCAGACTCACCACCTTTTGTTGTTCAGCAATGCATATAAAGATGCTGACGGCGTAATACCAGCTCCGCTGTATAGTACTGTATATATGTGTGCTAGCCATTAATATGCATTGGGATGCTGTCATGGTGTGATGGCTGGCACGCTGAACTCGCAATCCAGAGGTCACCGTTTCAACTTGATATCCCGGTGCGACAGCTGACAAAATGGTGCCAGTTTGTTAATTTGTAAAATACAAGAATAAATGTGCTGCTGTTCTTCCAAGACACCTGCCCGTATTGGAAGAGTAGGCCAAATATTTATAGAATTGTTATCCATTTAGTGGAGCCCCTTCTGCCAGAAGCAGTGTGAACAAGCAATTGCAGGGCTGCACCTTAACCTAAAAGGCATAATTTTCAGCAAGAACTGAACTAAGCTGACTGATCATAGTTGGATTTTCAATTAAATATGCATTTGCATCAGGGGGAGAAATTACATGTGCAGCATTTACTATGAGTGTGCACTTTCAAACGATGAACATTCCACTGACAAATTAAAAGCGACATTGGAACTTCCTAATAAACACATCAAACATTTGCCACATATGGAATTGCTCTGAAACATCTCGTAATAACGTACATAAGTACAATACTTTAAGACAGGTAGTCAAAATGGACAAAATGTGAGCACGATAATTGTAAAGCAAGCACAGTGTGCTCCGAAAGCAAAGTGAGCGTGGCAGTTTCAGCATCTTGACCCACCTCCATCACGCATCAATGGTGACTCGAATATTATCTCCGAGTACAGGCCGAGGTAAGGTTTGAGCTCTTGTGGCACCGGGGTGGTGTCCAGCATAACTATGTACTGTGAAACCAAGCAGATCAAAGGGAATAACATTACTCACAATGCATACATTTTTCATGTCACCTTTGCCCAAACATCGCAAGAAATCAAAAACTATAAATGGAGTGGCCTAGTATTGTTTTGCTGTCCGCGCAATGATTCTCAAGCTAAACATTGATGTAACTCAACATGATACCAGCCGTGCAGATTATTGCTCTTGCATGTTTTATTTTTGTATAGGCATTATCAATTCAAACCTTTACTTGCACAACGATCAACATCATTGGTCACTGCTAGATGAAGGACTTCTCTTAAGAACAGAGGACCATGATTATAAAACTTGTTATTTTTTAGTTTTTGCTCCTATATTACATGTTGGCTGACCAAAACACTGAGTACTTATTTATACAATCAGCCTATAATGGGAAGTACACACATGAAATTGACTCGATATGATAATTATGTCAGGTGCAGTCCTCAATTCAAAGTGAAAAGATTTAATTACACTCCCGGACGACAGATGAGCCTTGTGTTACACTGGCAAATATACATTGTATGCACGTATGTTGAACTTCTTTCGCACCGTACGTCGCCAACCGTGATAATTGGAGGTGCGGAGGAAGGTCAACAAAACTATTCACGAATATATTTAAACTTTATAATAAGGTGTGTGCTTCAAAACATTAGGATTGCATTTTAAACTGACATTTTATCTTCCTATCAAGATCCAAACGCATGACAATCGTGGACATGTTGGCTTAACAGCCACAAGACAATGCCACACACTGGCTTGATAATTATTCAACACGCGTTATACCAGAGAAATCCAGCAGACGGCGCAATTGCTAACATTAAGTGGAACCACTGTAAAAGAAAAAACTTCGCTAACATAAAATTACCGTGTTATGATTTTCTCAACAGCACTGGCCGTTGAGATTAAACTTTTAATATAAATGGTGCCACTAAGAATAATTAGTGTTACATTCTTCACCGTGGGGATCTAAGTGTAAGGCTAATACTTTCCATGAATTGATGCCTTTATAATGGTATTTTTTAAATTCTCTGCTGTCAAATTTAAGGCAAACTATTCTTTAGAACCTACAGGCAACTCAAAAGTTGTAATCCTTTGTCGCAGTGTAAACATGAATTACATTCGCGTGAATTAAAATCTTATTTTTAAACGAACAAAACCCATGCACGGAACGCTTTATTTTTTGCTACGCCTTCAATAACACCCCCCTCCATCTTCCCCCCGAACCACCCCAAACCCCCCTCCCCCCCAAAAAAAAGGCTCGTTAGATTTTTTAACAGCAAAGGCCTCGCCCAGGCTTGCACCGCTAAAATACAAAAAAAAACCTGCCTGGCCCTGTAGAAGAGAGCGCTCCCGAATTCCTTTTGTCAATCAACACAGTGGGAAGAATGCGGAAAAAATTTCCTCCAGGGCACGGCGCGCTCTCTGTCGCCCCGTCGCACACGCTGCTTGTATCAGATGGTCCACAGAAATCCTCAAACAATGCCCTGGTGTCCTGTAGCCGTTGGGCGGGACACGGTGGCTGTGGCACATGTACTTGCTGGCGGCGACAGGTCAAATGGAAAGGTGTTTTGAATTTTTATTTTTTGTTGTTGTTGCGATTTCGTACAGAATCTGCCGATCGTTAAACGCAACCCCCACCCCCTCCCCCATGTGAATACCAGCGAGGCGTACTTTGAGAAGGCAACGTGAACGCCACGGGACCGCAACGCATTCGGCACGAACGAAGGTAATGATTATAATGACAAAGATAATGGGAGGGGCCAATTATTCCCTTCCTGCAATTTCTCAAGGTGTCGGAAAGACTGTCAACGTGTGTAACGTAACAAAAAAAGCAGGAAAAGAGAAAACACTGGACAATGCCTTTTGCTAACACTGCCTCTACTACCATGGCCAACGCTCCCAAGAGCGCCTCCCGTAAATTCATCCACCCATGTTTTCTACCATCTCATCCGGAACATGCTTCTTCAACACACTGCGGGTTAAAAGTACTTTCTGCTTTTTGCTCAATGCTGCTCGACTTTCCCTATTATCGTCTCCATTCCCAATTATTATTTACGCGTCGGCTTTAATCTACTATCCCTTCAAGAGTGGCGTTTGTTGCTGGCCGTTTGGTGCCATGAGAGCCTGTGCTCGTCAAAACCGCGATAAAACTATAAATGAAGCGCAATTCGGCTCGTCAACAACAGCCCCCGATCATAACACAACTTCACGCTCATGCACAAGAATGTTTGGTAGCGCGCGGCATTGCATTGCACTGAGGGAGCGTCGCACGCACGCACGCACACACACACACACGTCACGCTCGCTCTCACCCGGACAAAGTTGGAGTGAACGTGGTCGAGCTGGAAAGGGAAGCAGATCTCGTTCAACGGGAAGCGCCCGTCTTCGCCGAGGCCCGCCACGTGGCAGACCGATACGTTGGAGATAGGTTTTATGGGGTGGAAGTGGATGCTGTCCGTGCTCGGGATGCGCAGGCGGCTCACAATTTCCTCCGGCGGCTCTTTCTATGGTTGGTTGCGAAACGATGTTACAGTCGTTACAGAGCAGGTAGTGGATGTGTGTGTGTATATATATACACAAGGGGTGAATCACAAACTGACATCTCAGACACCCAGCAGGGTTGAATTTGCACAAGCGCTTCGATGCGTGACCACCATTCACAAACAGGGTTGTTATAGACCTCAGCGCTATGTGCTTGGGGCAGCAAAGGACAATGTACCAAAATCCATTGATTTATTGCGCGTTCCCACGAAGGTTGTGAACAGCGGAGATGTAACGCTGCATTGATTCAACAACTAAAATCAAATCGTTTGCTCATGACATAAGCGTGCTATCATACGTGTAAGAATTGATGGCCTTCCATCTGCATATGTTGAATATAATTAGTTAATGTGACGCCATGCAACCATGCTAAACAATGATTGAATCTTGAAAAGAATTGCATAATCATGACAATTAATCACATTGTGAACCTGGGTATGGCACCTCAATCCCATAATGCGAGTAGTTTATGGAATAAGTAAAACAAATATCACGTGAGAAAAGAAAAAGTAAATAAACGTTTAACATTTCAGTGAATGCAATAAGAATCTTCACCACAATGCGTATAATAAATTTAAATAAAAATCCATGCGACCACGGAGAGAACATGCAAACTCCAAATATACAAGTGTTTGGGTTGGGATCGAATCCACGACCTCATGCATATCCTAGGCGAGGGAGTTAACATCTCGCCATCGTGCCACCCGTAAGTTTGGGTCTAGTGCGGGTCGCACCTCGTTTTGCTGTAGCGCATTCTCTATGATCTTGGCGCACTTCAGCAGCCCCTCCTCTCCCAGCGTCTCTCGCTGGCGCTCCACTCTCCCGCTCTCCGCTGCTTCCATTTCCACCTGCAGCGCATGGCTGGGCTCCCCGACAACCTGCAGCAGACAGAGATCCCCCGTATAGCCGTAACAGACTGTTGGGGCAAGCGCTGTTAGCGAACACCTATGAAGGTCGACACGGCGCACTAGGGGGTGGGTGGTCAGCATCACGCCTGGTCGCTTTTGTCTCCCTCGTGGCGATGTTTACATACTGCACCAGGTACTCGTTGGAGGCCGAGTCGGCCTAGGAGAGGCCCAGTCGGCCTAGGGGAGGCCCAGGACCAGTTCAGATTACCGTCACTGGTATTAGTCGTTAGCGTAGTGCAATAACGACTGCGCCATGCCTGCATGACCATTAAGCTTGATCGACGGCTGCCGAATTCTCGAGACATTATTAACCAAGTTCTGCAGCATCAAAGACATAAAGATTGGTCGAATGCATTATTTTACGGAACAAAATACATTAATTTGGTCATCCTTCTAAAAATATTTTTTTTAAGACTTGAAGATAAGGTCATAACGTTTAAAACTATGGGTGTAGCAATACGTATCAATTAATCGACCAATATGGATTCTTAAGCCTGGGCAACAAGTGTACGAATCATTGTTTTTTATTCATACTTCGGCCCCTTCAGTCACGAAAGACCACTTGAAATTTTCATCCTCGAATGGAATCGTGACCCTGAATCGTGGAAACTCACAGAATGCCCAGGATCGTTACACCCATCACGATTAACCCCGTGGCTTGCAGCATGGTGATGATTTATTTATTTTACCACGGTTTCTGAACACAGGCCCAAAGGCTCAAAATGCCAAGCAGCCAGCGACAAACGGCGCAGCCGAAGATGTAACAGATAAGAGCTAACATGTATATTTGAATGAGCAAGGTGATAAGAAATAAAACAAAAGGAGGGGATTTCAAAGTTGAGTAATGCGAGGGAAGAAACAGACAAAGAAGTGTTGTGACCTGCAGTGTGGAGAAATTGAGAACACCTTCATGAGTAATTCAGCTCAAAGTGGTGACTAAGACAGGTGGACTCGGGGTCTACGGAGTTCAATAATCAAATATTTTTGTTCAACATAGCTCAGCAGTAGGAGGAAAGAAGCATTAATATTTTAGTCTTTTGAATGCGCATGGCAGTTGATCACAGCATGGATAAGACAAAACAGTCTACATGGTAGGGCGAGGCCACGACACTGCTGGGCCGCTGCTTTGCGGTCGTCGTGTGGGCAAGTGTACCGTGACACAGGGCTTATCAACAAAGTAGAAGTTGAGGAGGTCCAGCCAATACTCCACCGGCTCCTCCGCCAGCTTCTTGAACGCCTCCACCTGGTTCAGCCGCTTGCGCAACTGGAAATAAAACGTATCCACGTGTCCTTGGCTCTCATATTACCCAACCTAGTCACATCTACAATTCTGAATGACTGTGTTGGTTAGGTTTTATTTTTTTTAAGGTGGTTTTCCATTTTGTACAGCTGGATAGGTTTTACAACACATATAAAAGTCACCCCATAACACGGTTCTCCAAATTCCTGAAAAAAAGCATGCAATTCCCATGGCTAACAAGCATGCACCACTGTCACACCTTATCACAAGTGGGCAGCATAACTAATACTTTAAGCAAGGTGGGAAAAATTTATGGAAAAAGACATGTTGGAATGTTTTCCATCATCAAAAGGTGACTTTTTTTTTTACAGACTGTCATGTTTGTTTTAATATATCGCCGATAAACTTTGAGATTTTTTTTATTGAGAAAATCACTTCGTAAAGACAATGCAAACACACACTTCAGGTCGCTTAACAACAATCAGATGACTAGCATGGGCTTTGTGTAGGGCCACAAATTAAACTCATATTATCAATTGTTCAATCCAAGTGTCAAAAGGTACTCGAATGTGCTTCATGATAAAACCACGTATCAAGGGCTGAAAATCCATTTTATATATTTAAAAAAAACCCTGAAAACTAAACTATTTTTTATTTTAGCAGGTAAGTCCCACTGAGCGACATAGCTCTTTATCAGAAGTGACCTGGCTACAAATGATAGCTCAACGAAGTGGCGTCTCATGTGGAGACTTACAGCAGCCAAATAATAAGTGGGGGGGGGGGGGTAACTCCCTCCTCACATTGGGGGGGAGACGTGAAGGTATTGAGGGGGGAGGAATCTGTTTAGGGGGCAGCACCGCCACCGAACACAACTTCATTTAACACCCAAACCACGCAGGGTTCGAATGTCGTCCTCAGATTCTGATTTCTGCCCCCCCCCCACCCTCGGCCACAGCGTCTGTTCCCCCACAGACGATGCCACATTTTAATCTCCTTAAAGTTTGTTATTTGTCACAGATGGTGTTATATCACAATAAAAGTGTGCAAAAAAAACATTGATACTGCGTTGGCAATGGTACACAAGCACAATGAGAAAAAAAACCTCCCATTCGTCAATAACAGTGCAGTCAGAAATAAAATAAAATAGGCAACGTTTTGGGCAATGGCCCTCCTTCATTGCACTCATGTGCTATTACGAAGAGCCACTGCCCGAAAGGTCACCATTATAGATATATATTTTTTTATCTCTTCCAAGGCATTCTTATTGAAGAATGTGTTGACCTTTTGCTGTTAAAGTTAAAGTCAATTGGCTTTTATTGCCTGTCCACAGACTTTGAAAGCCTATTATTGTTTGCCCACCCAATTCTGCTCAATGTATGGGTGGCAAGGGTACCAGTTGCCCCATCTGTGGGCCCACCTGTGGGCACGTATTGATGATATACACTTGGCCTTGACATATGATCCAGAAAGGTCTGACTCAGTATCAACTCAGCTAAAGGAGTTTAATAATATAAATCTATGCGTTTATATGGCTCTTAAATATTAATCAGCAACTCAAAGCGCCTTACACCACACATCTCAGCTAAGAAAAATTCCAAGGGCACCCCCAGTGACAGATGTCCCTGTGTGGCATAAAATGACTCGGCACCGGCCTGCAAATGAGCATTAATGTACCAGTAGGGAGTAGTAATTGCTAAGTCCAATCCCAATTGAGTAATTCGTGGGTTAATTTTTCATGACGCCGGCATTGTGAAGCAGGCGGCGCATATTTATGGTTTCATACACCGGCAGTGATAACCAGGGTGGCCTGCTGGATTCAAACCGAAAAAAGATTACAACAAGCGGCAACCCCACTGCCGCTTGGCTACGTTACTGCTCGGTGGCGGTGGATATCCACGTGGCCTGTGATCCATCCAGCAGTGTCGACGGCGTGAGGGCTCGTGGATCAGACAAATGTCGTCAAACTCCCTGCCCAGGGGAGGCCGAGACGCCATACCCTGGATCGCCGGAAGACGGTGGTACGGCTAAATTGTGGACTAATCTCCGTGTGTTCCATCTGTATGGCATGGAGCGTCTGGCCCCCTCACACCCGTGGGTTTCCTTCGGGTTTCCTCCCACATGTATAACGCTCGTTAATTGGCAGAGAACATCTTAATGTACAGAGGACTGCAGAGCTGGGGCAATTGTTGGTGCCGGCTCACCGCCTGGCTGAGGCAATACTGTTCGGCACGTGACAAATTGAAATAATAATTAACAAAGCGTTAAGTAGCAAAGGGGGAGAGATTCACGGGTTCCCCCCGTCTCTGCCGCATCTGCGAAGGCAGCGACCCCCCCTCTTTAGCACGTCATGCCGAAAACGTTCCGTCGGGCAGAGCTTCCCAATACCTCCTCCTCGGTATCGCCGTAGAGGAAGTGTCCGATGCAGGAAAAAGCGATGGCTTCGTGTGGGTGATCTTCAGCCTGAAAGAAAAACAAAAAAAACGAAAGGTTGAAGAGTAGTCATTCACGCATACCATAAATCCAACAAGATTTGTTATAGTACTTTGACTGACCCAACACTTAATAAAACAAGAGATTTATTTTCTTCGGGCAAGGCCGTTGCACTGTTTGTAATAGCAAACCACAGCGACTGAGTTTAATGGCACATGAGTCGGATGAAAACTGCTGCTGACAAACGTTGCCTGCGTCTGATGAAGGATTCAACATTTTTTTAAATCCGCAGACTACACAGCGCACTTCCCATCTACCGAGGTGATCAATCGTTAAACCAACTTTCCATCAATGGCAACGCCAGGCCTCCTACCATACTCACTTCCCCCACTGCTAATTTACACCTGGAGACATTCCAATTATATATGTCTCACCAAATATTCAACACGATTTGTACAAACGCTACATGAAGCGTGCGTTTAAACCACCCGCGTATATTGTATTGTAGCAGTTACATTAAAGTTTTGATTTCCGATAGTTTGGGGGGGGGGGGGAAGGTGTGATGATTAGAGGGGAAAACCAGGGACATTTTAAGCACTGGTAATGCATTTTAAAATTGCGTTCCCTTCTTCACTAATAGGCCGACGTCTTACTGAAGCGTGTTTTTAAAGGGCTCTCCAAAACGAACAAGCAGGATACTTGGGTGTTGAGGCATCGTCTACTTAAGAATCGCAGCATGCGAAATCCATCGGCGATGCGGCAAAAGAATAAATGGCTAACTGCAAAGAGCGTGCCGTTCCGGGTTTTATGGCATGGCTCATCGAGAGCGCGTTCATTCACGGCATTCAGCGGTTTAATGAAGCCTAATAATAGAAATATACACGTGTAAAGCCCTGACACATGCACCAGAGAGGCCCAGTTATCCTGGCAGCCCCGACCTGCGCGTTGGGAGCACTCAAGGGACGACGTCTGTACGCGTGAAAAGCCCCAAAGGTTGGCGATGGCGGAAAAAGCCGCCCCCCCTCACTCGGCTTTGCGGAGACGCGGCGGTGACAAGACGCTCGTCTTTCAGTGCGTCGCCGCCTCGAGCACAAAAGAAACAGGCTGGGTTGGGTTGCTGCACAGAGGCGAGAGCCAATTGTAAAATTGGACTGGACGTTCATAACAGCTAGAGCGAACACCCACCCCACCTCCCACCAACTCCCTGTCTGCTCGCCACCCACAACCTCCACCACAACGCCCCCTCCTGCCTCTGACCCCCCCCACCCAACCCTCTGCCCCCCCCCACCCAACCCCCCCCCCCCCCGCACCACAACAATTTTAAGTAGCGATTCAAGTGCACACGCAGATTTCTCACGAGCAGCATGCACAGTGATTTTGTGAACAGGTTTTTTTTTTCCCTTTCTCGAGATAATTTACTTTGGAAGTTTTCCAGCGAGTGTGATGGCATTTGCATTGTTATTTTCACAAGTTTATAATCATCCTCGAATACGCAGCCATGATTCCATCCCCAATGCCTGCAATGAATTGGCGACAGTGCTGCATTTTGAGCTGTATTCTCGACGAGCAGCCGTTATTATCTTAGGCAGCCAGTTTCAGCGTGTGCTAAGTGATTCTATTACTTTTCAAAAATTTGTTTTAAGAAGCTTTGCCATACATTTTCACTTTCTGGCATTCACAATATTTGACGGACTGTGACTTAAATATGATTCATAATAAAAGGTTTTTGGGTCAGATCGCGTTATTTATAAATGTGTCGTAACCTTTATTATAAATATAATATTGGTCGCGAAAGACTACGTGTTAAAGTTAAATATGATTATGCTATCCTGAAAATATTAACGGCATAATCATGGTCTCCACCTGGTTCAACAATGGCGGCAAAAAATAAAAAAAACATGTATTAAATACAATTTTACAATTTAATTTGTCTCAATTTCCACTTCTCAAAATTAAGTGCATCAGTTCGATTGTCGTGCAATGCGCATTTCTCTCTGTGGCAGGGCGAGTGGGAAAGTGTTTCCCCATCGTGTTTCTAAGAGGCGAATGTAGAAATTTTCAGAAGCAGTTGTCATATCTCATTCCAAGAGATGTTCTCCAACACGGGGGTCATGCACATTCTTTGTGTCGTGGAATGACGCCAAATGGCACAATCGAGTTAAAATTGGGGAAGATGTTTTTATTTTTAAAAGATGTAGTTCCTTTGAAGACGGTCACAACTAATGTACGTAATGAGTATTTCATGATTAGAATCAACTTCACGCTCCGTAATGCTGGAAACTAAAACAAAAACTCCGTCACAAATGAAAATGTATTTACGAAAATCAGAAATGTGATGTGCGCACTTGTACCTCGTTTCAATTAGATTTAACTTTCTTCGTCAAAATAAAGAGTTTGCTAATCAACATTGTTGTACAGCATTAGAGAATATATTAACCAGACATCAGAGAGACCAAACTCGATATGTTCTGAAGTAAACGGGTAACAAATTGGCAATATTTTCACACCATCACTTTAACTCCAATTCAATAAATGTCTGACAAGTGGAATGCAGCGAAGACCTTTGTACATGGGGGCTACACATACCTGCATTCCATAACAAAATTGACGAGACTTTTGAACTACGCTTGTGAAGGGTACTGTAATGGTACACCTGCCTGATACGGCATGGAAAGAAAACATTTACACAGAAGTCTCTTGAGTCCATATTCACAAACTCTACATCTGTCATCCAGCTATGTAAAAGGAACAATACAAATATTATTCCAGGAAGCCAATGCATGATAATGGTTATAAAGTCCATCTCAAGATTTACACTAAACATAAACGTTACGAGCAAGCATGACATGTCTGCGGTTTTCGACTGGTATGCACAACTGCCAAACGGCAACGACTTTCCAAGTTCGCCCGTTGCGATGAAAGATATTGTCTTTTTCGCCGTAGTGACATTTTGTGCACCTTAAAAAAATGGCAGTGAGGTGGGTGAGAATAATAATATATATAATCAGGCAATGGCCATGGCGAAGCAGATGCCTTGGGAAAGGTTCTCATCTCGGGCCATTGCGTCAGACGGACGGTACCACAATTGTGTTCATAGCGGATAATCGCCAGACCTTACGGTTCATGCTATCGAAAGGCAACATATGCACAAAGCCCTTCAAGGTGCCCAGGCAGTGATGTTTGGATGTTTCCCCTGACTTGTACCAAGCTCACTTTAAATGTAAAGAAAATACAAATATTCTAACTGGACTATGTATAATAAAAAAATAAAAGCTAATTTTACTCAACTATGATGTTTGCTGCATTGCACAGAAGCTACAACTTGCAGAGAAAAATGTGAGCGGGTAGCACAGAAGTTATATAAATGAGTAAACATATAATGCATTAGCAGCGTCTGTAATATATAATAAAAAATGACCTGTTTTATCACGTTCACTGCTTCTTCATAACAATGTTTGAAAGAAAAACAGAAAAAAATGTTACTGAATGGCCTGAATGCATTTTTGGTGGTTTCCAGTGACTGGCAGGTGACCGTGGAAGCTGTGCGGGCCAGGACTCTGGGTGGGGCCGCGGGCCACTCACATGGTTGAGTGCCTCCAGAATCTGCCGGGCGATGACGGTTTGCATACGGGGCATGTCAAGAGCCTCCGTGCCGTCCCCGATCCTCCGCAGCGTGGCCAAGAGCCTAGCAGCAAGCACAAGACAAGACAACGATCCCCCTTATAGTCTTAAACTTTTGAGGGTAAATGCCGTTAGCGAGGAGCGCCTGTTAAAGCCGGAACGGCATATGACGGGGTTTGGTGGTCGGCACCACGCTTGCCGCCCAGGTACTCATTTGAGGCTGAATCGACCTAGGGGAGGCCCAGGACTGGATTCAGTTAATAATTATCTCTGGTGTTGTTGGCCGCGAGCAGGAATCGGGTCGCCGGATTCATAGCACAGAGTGCTAACCCCTACACAAACACTCCCCTGCATGTACACATCACATAGACACACGTGCATTCGCACACATGCGGCCATAAACACACATTGTCGAAGAAGCCTAACCGACTATCACGGCCATTTTCAAGATGGGCACCACTAAGTATTTCTAGCAATATATATTCGATATTAGTAATTTTTGGGTTATTTTTAAAATTTGGACCATGATGCCAGTACACAATGGCCTACTCTTGGGAACGACATTACGGGATCTTTAATGTCCACCGTGCAGCAGACGGCTTGTAACATTTTTATAGTTAATGCACCCGCAGTATTAATCTGGGCGGCTGAATTTTAACCGTCAACCTCTGCAAACAAGAGGCAAATGTGTCACGTCATCGCCCAACACTGATTATGGACGCTGTAGGGGCCATCAATGATAACCACTAATTTATAAACAACTTTCACATTTGCTCCAATCAATAATTTGTTGTTTTTTTATCCCAAAAAAAGAACAAGGACTTGTTTACAATTTATAGCAACAAGCGGTACATTCTACACATCCATTCCATGCACAGTAGGCGAGGAATGTGACGTTTAATTAATCGCGAATGAAAATTGTGAGATTAAAACCCACACATTGTGGTAGTGCGCTCAATAACACGTTGTTAGTAGATTAAATGAAGAACACAATATTGATTAAAGACAATGAGATGTTTGAGAAATTAATAGCTTTGTCTTTAACTCAAACATTTCCACAATCGACCAGGCTCAGCAGTGTGATAAATCCCATAAGGTGGCCAAAACTGGCTGGTGTTAAAAGATGCACTTATATAAAATATAGTAACTGATTAAAGTAAGTTTTAATGAGCTCCTGCCTGCAGGTAATTCCACAATAGGATTTATTTAAACTTCCTCACTTCAAAGAAAACTCAGATGAAATCAAAGCCCTTTGTTAATCCACTGCTGGATGAAGCTCTCTCCACATTGGGTCAGCCACAGGGGAGATTTGACTACACTTCACACCAGTCAGTGCGGTTTTGTGTCAGGGCAGGATACCCAGCACCGCTTAAGATATCACACTCCTGACTGACAATAGCCATCACTGGGAATTAAACTCGGGTGGCTTTGCTCATAGTGTGAACGGTGTCCAAACCACTATGCCCCTACACCACTATAAAGTAATTGATAACATTAAGACTAAATTCGGTCTTAAAAAACAATAATGAAACGGTTTGAGCTTTAAAAGAATGTGATTACGCCAGCAGTCTCACAAGTGTCAACATCAGCAGGCTTCTGCCCGTACACAAGCGCTCAATGCTTAAGCCTTAGCCGTCTCTCCTGTACGGAGCAGTCATTATTTACCGTAAACACGCCGCAAAGACTAATTGCATAAGCGCCGTTCAAAGACCACCGCGTGGGACGTAGAGCCACGGGCTCCGGTTGGAACACTAAACCTAATTCGGCGATGGCGCAACGGCAATGCTTCAGTCTCGCATCTTGTTCACCGCTCACCTATTCGCTACAAAGAGTGGAAATTTAATTTAACAGCTTTCACAGAATTGTTTCGAAAGAGTGTTCCTAGAAGACAGGATTTGATACACAGTGGCGCTTGAATACGCGCACAGCACACACACACACACGATTGCCATGGAGATAGGTATGCATTTATGACAAGGCACTTACTTTTCCTTCACGTCGCTCAGTTTGGGGAAAGGCACATTGCAGCATTTTATGTAGACACAGCCAACACTGTTCTCGAGGATACTGCACCCCACCTGTGCCAACAGACGAGGGAAACAGTGATTTTAAAACACTCGTAGGACACCGCGTGAGCTCCGAAGCTAAACGGGCGATCAATTCACGTGCAACTTCAACACTTGTCCATTTTACGTATCCGCGCGCACGACATATTAAGCTTATAGACAGTATCACCGTTTACACTGTGGGTTTATCCTGATAACGTGAAAACACGTGCCTGAAATGCGACGGGGCAAACGGTCGAGTGAAATAAACTTCACGTAAAATATAAATTAATTGCACAAGATAACGCCCGTGACCAAATCACCCCGGGAGTGCGCCCGACCTCATGGGAGTGAGGAAGCTGTTCAGGGCTGAGCCCGGATATCGCTTGGTATAAGTGATCACGCACAATTGAGTTTTTTTTTTATAAACTGCAAGGCTGCATGGCAGGCAGTGGAGGGCACTACAGTAATATCCACTCTGGCACAAAAATACGATCCCACGTCTATGCCCCTCGCCTTCACCAACGCACAATGACCAACGCGGTGAAGTATGGTCGAATAGCCGCTACGATCGGCACGGCTTGGTAAATTGACAAAAGGGCTGTCCATACAACATGTAAGCAGACAATTACTTTCTCCTAACGTTCATTATCGTATTGAAAAAATATCCAAAATCACGTTTGACAATACACACAAATGTGAGGCATACTTAGGCAAGGACAGCACATTAAGACTGTTTAATGCCCAAGGGCCAAGTAAACGTTAACACTGAATAGTAAGTAGTAACATTTAATAAAAGTGACAATTTGGCCAAGTCCAAGCAGATGTAGAATTGTACTGCAACACACACCTGCAATGGGGGTGTTTAACGAATAATATTCATGTCATATAAAAGCCCTCATTGTCATGGTTCTTTTCTGAAAAATCATCAAGTGCCTATGGATTTTCACTTGCCTAGACTGTATTTATTCGGTCACTTGAGTGCCATTAATATTGTGGGGAAAAAAACCCGCTAAACACAACACAGAGTAATTTACAGGCATAATGCAAACGTTCAAATGCAAATACAGTAAAATTATAACAGCCTGATTATAAGAATTTTAGTGTTTTATTTTTATTATTTCATTATTTCCCAGTGGTTTTCACACCTGATGATTGCTTGTATTGCAGTCGAAACGTCGTGATAATTTTATTGTTATATATTTGTATTATTTTATTGTTTCTTCTACGTGACTTTACCGCAAGAACCAAGAAGATGAATCCCTGCAGTCACGAAAGCTTTAAATCGAAATTTAGCCTGATTATAGCTTTACATCGCCAAAGAGGAGGACATTTTTGGTGATGTATATGCAAGTGAAAATTATTTAATGAGTGATTCCATACAAAGTTTAGTACGGAGTTCATGAAATGCCTCAATTAAGATTGGACAAATTGGATAATCAATTTAGTTGTGGTACATGAATAGCATCTTAGATTACAGAGCAGGTAATTTAGTAGTTAAACATGTAAAAAAATAATGAGTGCATTTTTTTCAAATGTATCTATCATGTTGGGGATACAGCCAAAAACATAGCTCTCCAAATTTTTGTTTCTGAATATTCGGTTCCTGGAGGTGCTCCAAGGACATGGAGCAAAACGTCGGTCATTGCGCCGAATGACATGCTATACGGCCTGAGTCGGGCCGTACAGCACAACCCTAAAAACCTACGCGGTCTCCATAAGTTTAACATCACAAAAATCTCAAACAATACGAGCAACTGCTACTGTACTGTGATTCAGATATATCTTTTTTTGTCTTTCATTGGGCAATAAAAAAAAATAGATTTGTAATTTTTTCATCTTTTCGCACGTAGGTCACTCAAGTCAAAACTGCGACACGAAAAAACAAACTCGCCGTGATTGCATTGGGTTCCCACGAGGGAGAAGCACCGCATCTGTGACCTAGCGTGTAACCTTTGCCGTGCTTGGTGTTCGTCGTGCGATCGTGCGAGGCTCAGGAATGGCCCTCGGGTGAAAAGCGAACGCAAATACTGTACACTGTAAATCCTCAATCAGCACTTATCTTTGCCGAGATCGCCCCGTCGGTAATCCTATATAAAAAGGCAAAAGTCGTGTTCTTCAGCTGCAGAATTACAAAAAAAAACACACGACTCGAGATCGCCGCAGCGCTCGGGAAACCCCCACCTCGAGAGATAAACCGCTCGCGGAAGGGCGCCGATTGTCCCAACTTTGAAGACGAGGAGGACGGCAAGGGGGCGCGAGTGAAAAATGCCCCAAAGACTGGAACGTGCAACCGCTACCAATGCTGATTATGTGATTGATGTCCCTTCCACCTCTCGCCGTGCTATGTCAAGCCAATGGCCGCAAGCCAACCGGTGCTGACATTCATCACTTTGTTACCGCGGCATCAAATAAATCACCTACAGTGAAAATCTAAGAGGATTTTCTCCCTACTGCGGGCAGCCACGAGTACACAAGGACCACCTGTGCCGGTGAAAGAAAACAAAATAACATTTCATCACCAAAGAAAACTAACAGTCATCACAACTTTTTGCCTCCCCCCCCCCTCCTCTTGAAAACGACTTTCGTATCCGATCTGACTCCTTGTTTACGTTAACCGAACTAAGTCAAACGTTGGACACTCACGTGACATTCGACACTGACACTCGCTATGTTTACAATTCCAATAACTTTCACAATGGCAAAATAACGTTCAGCAGGAATGAATGGAAGCTGCATATAAAGCTCGCGTAAATAGTTTTATCGCATGAACGGTTGACACCAGAGTTTTTTTTTTACCTGCAAATGTTTAACAAGTTAACGTACAAAAGAAATAACCAAAAGACGATGGAATGTCCACTATCCTCGGGGTATACAGTGCATCATCAGTGTCAGAATAGAGCATATAACCCCTCCAGATGCATGTAGGCGTGTCCAGTTACTGATACATCTCGGAGCTGCCTACCGTTTACCTAAAACCTTCCACACATCTATGAAAGTGACTTGCACATGCCAGCAAGAGACACTTTCAAGGTCCATAAAATCAGGGTTTATTACGTTTCTCAGGAGAGTGCCTAATTACATTATCACAACTGTTTTAATTAAGAGTTTTAATTACTGATTTAAAATGTAAAGCATACTCCGTGAATATGACACCTTTGAAAATGACAAATGCTTTCATCCAGAAGTTACAAATGCACGACTGTGGATTTTTCAACTGTGAATTACCGGAGTTGTTAGATCCAGTCATCATGTGCAGTGATAATTGTGACCGTTGGGTATTTAAAGGCACATACGGGCTCACATTACAGTGAGAGTGTACATTCCTGCACATTTGTAAATGCAGTTTGGCAAAACGCCAGATGCCAGACAAAGACTGATAGGTGATTTAAGCTAAACCCTCAAATACTGGCACTGACAATCACAGAATCTTTACCAGCAGACCGAGGCAGAATGCGAATGTGTCCAAACGTGTTTTGTTTTGGGTGACCTGCAGGAGGAACCCCAGATATTATGACTTTTATCGAGAATTTTGGGGGGTATTACAATGCGTCAACTTATGTTAAATCTAAACCTCACGACACAAGCATCAAAGCGCATGTGGAAGACTCGACGTTGTTGAAATGTGTGCATGTCGTATGCGATGGGCTCTCCCGCACGACATTGTACAAAAAAAATGCATTGAACCCCAGCCATGAATCAAGGCAATTCGTTGAAGCACAAGGTGGCAGAATCGTTACACCCATTAATGCACACTGTACCAAGACTGAACTAGTTTCCAGCGTGTGTGAGATTTTACTCTTAAAAAAAAAAAGTACCTCGCTTTAAATAATATAAATTTACTGTGACGCAAGTCACGGAGGTTGTTTGAGCATACCTCCCCACATTGGCCAGTGTGGGTTGGTGAAAGGGAGTTGGGGGGGGGGGGAAGAGGTCCAGCACCAGGTCAAATATCCTTCGCCACTCATGTTAGCCGTGGCCAGGAATCAAACTAAGGCCACCAGCTTCACTGAACAGTCGACTAACCACGGAGGCCATCACTCCATACACCCCATTAGTGACTTCATGACAATGCACCACACTGCTGCTGTACTACGATGCAGCCTCCGCCAGCATATAGCTTTTGGCTATAACATGAAAAATTCAGACAGCGTGTACAAAAACACCCCGATGCATTTGCAGTGCCTTTGGGGCAAATTTGTCAATACCGTACCTCGGGCTGAAATGCTTTGTTACGGTCATAAGTTCAGTTATCTACTGGGAAGTTAAAAGGTTGTAGAATCTGACTGTCAATAAACACAGCGAGTAATGTTTCAACGACGGAAAAAGAGGAAGACCAGGCGAGAATTGGAGAGAGAAAATCGACAACTTAACAAGTAGGTTTTCACAAATTAAATTCACTGTCAGTTTAACACAATAAATTCACTGTATTAATTATAATACAGTGAATTTATTATGAATAAATTCACTGTATTATAATTAAAGAGTTTAAATTGGAATAACACTAGAATAACTGACTTAAAACTTTCGTGACTGCAGGAATTCATATTCTTTGGGTCTTTCGGTAAAGCCACGTAGATAGAAAAAATAATATTATTATATTTTTTTTCTATCTAAATGGCTTTACCGAAAGACCCAAAGAATTGGAATGAATATTTAATGGTTACTATCCAATGTGAATATGATAGGTTGTTCCAGTGTGGTAAAGACACCTGTTTAAGAAGCCTATTTAAGAAGCCGGTTTCAGGTAACATCATTAGTCTGACTACCTATATTATAATTCTGAATTCCGGAATCTTATCCTGATGGGTGATGTGGCGTCCAGCAAAATGTTGTATCCAAGTGCGAAATTTGGTTTTGAGAATTAATCTTCAACTTACCCGTGAGCCAAAAAGTAATAATTGGCTCGTTAAACACATGTCGGGTGGTGGAGGCCATTAAGGAAACAAATTTGGCCATATAATAACGTGATAAGAGGTCACAGGAATATCATGGGACAACACAGCTTAGTTGGTTGAAAAACCACAAGTTGTATTCTAAGCTGTTTTGCCCGATGCTCTGTCGAGTGCAAGAACGGATAAGGTCAAAGGTCTAAGGTAAGGTACCTTGTTGCAGTACGGGTCCGAGATCTCCACCAAGTCCCGCTGGAGTGGAGATATGGCCGTATCGCTCAAATACTCCAGAAGCGTTCCGATGGCAGTCATCTTGTACAGATCCTACATTGTACGTGTGTGGGAAAACAAGCGAGTGGCCGTTAAACATGCGGCCTCTCTACACCTCGTCCAATGTGTTCACCGAGTACATGTGCAATGAAGCATACAGGCAACGCGAAAAAAACCAATAGCTCTTATCTTGTCGAAATGTACCAAGGCTATATTTTCTACACTGTTCGAAGCACAGACGACACTTAGGTAGAGAGACAAAACGTTACGTTCACAACCAGGGGCCGAGTCGTAGCAATCTCTGCATTGATGTTACATTCAAACATCGGTTGCATAATTGACATTCTTGACTGAAACTTTGCAGCGTTTTTTTTTTTTCTCTCATCAACAAAGCTTCAAATCTACATTTGATAGCAAAATTCAAACAACCTATGACATTTCTACAAAAGGATTATTTGCATGACTAATTTGGGGTTTGTCTTCCTTCAGGATACAATTGCCAACGTCAATTTACAGTGTCAATCTCAAGTGTTTATGAGGACGCAAGATTTTCACCTTGGCGCTTGGACCTCGCCAGGCGACAGTCACCATGCCAGTTGTCTCATCATCACTTGGGTATTGAACCACAGACTCTGTTAAGTCTGTAAACTCAGGAACAGAGGACTGCCAAGGACGCACGTGAGGTGGCAGGGGGTCCTGGAACATCAACAGAAATTGCTCAATTCAGCAACGATAATACATTTGTCGAAAAACAACATCTAATAGTCTTTAAAAAAAAAGTTAAAATAGACATTGGTTTAAAATAAGTATCCAGTAATGGGCTTCACCTGCTTTCTATCAGTTTTAGTGTCACCCTCCAGAGGAGCGAATTGTTTGGTTCACTAATGATGCGTTATTGAAGATTTGATAAACATAGATTCACAATCCTGCTTGCCCACTCCAACCCACATAGTTGCGATGGCCTTGGTTCAACAACAATACGTTATTTCTCTCCCACCCCCTGAATGTTATCAGTACCTTTCAAAAAGAAAAGTACCAAATAAAATTATCCATTACCTGACTTCATATATTCATTCAACACCATTCAAAACACTCCAAAATATAAAGTTTTGTAGATTTAGGTTAAACCCCCCAAAAATCCCAAATTTGTTTAACATTTTTTTGGGGGGCACAAAAACATGTTTTAATTTACAAACATTTCCCGTAATACGAATATACTGGAAAAAAATTGTACCAGACCTAAGCTATCTAGGCCTTCTAGAACATCATTAAAATGTGCATTCGTCACAACTGTATGTGTCTTCATACATGACGTAGGAAGTGGTAAGAAGTCACCTTTGATTTTATTTTCTGTTCGGTGAGATCCAAAGCCCGGAAAACTTCTTCAGGGTCCACCTGGCCCGTGATGATGAGGCAAAGATTCTCGGGCCGATAAAACGTGCGGTGGTAGTCGCATACCTGCCAAGCATTATTAGAAATATCAGCACTTCCACATGGGCCTCAGGAATAAAAGTGACATGAATGGAACGTTGCATTTCGCACGCTGACCTTTTTATGTGAAGTGCTCGTCCTGAGGTTCTCTAGCATCCCGCCGGTTTCTGACTGCAAGGACACAATCATGTGGCCACGAATTAACACCAAACAGACGAAAAGGAAAATGCCAACATTCCGGTGAATCCAAGCAAATATGTGCGCTTCTCACTTTGTACCCACAGCGACCGGAGTACATGGCATTAAGCATGGCACGATGTGTGCGGCTCTCTCCCGTGTTCTCTCGAGCCTGCATTTCACAGTAAACTACGCCAGCGTTCTCCCCATCGCCATTAATGTGATGCACTTCCGTGATGTAGCTGGATTCCTGCGCACCACAACGGCAAATGTAAAAGAAACAAAATCAGACGCAAGGTACTATTATTTCCTTTTTCGTACATTTATTTGATAGGTGTAAGCAAGCTGTTTTGACCAAATCCAACACAATGTTCCCAATCTTGGCAGAGCTCGCAAGCTAAGCAGAATTACACCTGGATAGTGTGTGGATGAGTGACCACCATGCACAAACAGGCTGCTAAAGGTCGTGGGGCTACATGGTGGGTAGCAGAGGGTACTGCAGAACATTTGAATACTGTACTATAATTTCATTTCCCCACGTATGCATTCCCAGGCTTCACCAACCAGCACCAACCAGTGAAGTAGGGTAAAGTAACTCCAACGACCCACGCGGCGTGGGAAGGCCATCATCCAGCAGTGGATTGACAACATTGTATTTCTTTACATATGTGCATGGACTATACATAATGTTACTGAGCTAGCACCAGTTCATCCTTAAGACGGGGAGAATATTTTTTTCATCTACAATTCTCAAAGAGACTGCAAGGCATGAGTGGTATGGGATTTTCCCTCCAACAACCAGTCACCACAAATATTCACATCACCTATATAGACGTATATATATATTACTATTTTGACAAAAAAACATTGGAGTTGTATTATTTTACCTCGGTTAAATGTCATAAGTTGCACATAATTAATCATGGATACAATAGGTTCCTGGTGCCTTCTGGTAATAACGAGTCTTTACTTGACTTGTTATGCCATAAAATAACATGCGTAATGTGACTCACAGGCTGAATGAGACAAATGACGTTTCGAATTACGAAGATGTCCACGTGTAGCTGGTTACCGTCAGTGTCGGGTAAAGAATGTGGTCCAGGTAAATGGGCAGCAGGTTGAGAAAACCTTCACTCCCAGCCGTCGTGATGGTGTAACACGTGTGATCGGTGTCTGTCCATGCATTTGTTCCTTGCGCCAGACATCGATTTGCTAGGAGATCCAAAACACCCTACAGCACACGAACAGGAAAACGTTATCGCAGTGCCTTCAAAACCAACATGGGATACGTATTGCATTCAAGTGTCAGAAAATGCAACAAAATGCATGTATATGTACTGTGTGTAAAATAAAACGACACACACTATTACGGTGTGTTATGTTATGACAAATGTCATAAAGTTCACTCCTTTGCATTACATTTCACAACTTCGCTAAATGGTAGAAATGGCAGCTATCTCAGACACATTTTGATACATGTGTTTTTATGTTAGGTTATGCAGGACCATCAATGTGGATATTCCTCAATTACCACTACAATAGTTTTATCATGGTATGTCAATTTCATACATATATTTTTTTAGTTAAAACTGAACTCTTCAATGATCATTTTAAGATTAAATATGAGTGCTGGGTGGGTCATGATGGTGCATTAGTTCCTACAAAGTGCTATGAAGCTGGTGACCTCAGTTTGACTCCTTGTCATGGATAACTTTAGTGGCGATAAAATATGAACCGGATCCTGGTATACTCTATTCCCGAATGTGCGCTGACCAGCATGGTGCCAATATCGCCAAACAAACCCAACCAATGTGGGGTGGAGATGCCTTCATCCAGCAATAGATTTGCAAAGCCCTAAAGATTGCAATATGACAAAGAATTCAGTAAGCGCAGTGTCAGTGTTCTCTAACTTTGTACGGGTATTCCTCGCTGCCCATGAAGACAAGGTGCTCCAAGGTGTGGGGCAGGCCATCATCATCGTAAGCCTCCGTTGCTGAAACACAAGTGCACGTCTTAATTCAGAATTAGAGGGAAAAAATTAAGTCCGTAAAAAATAGCAAACAATTCCACGAATAAGTGCGTGAAATAAAAAAGAGGACTTCATTTGGATAATGAAGTCATTTTGTGAGTGGTCACTGAGTGGTGGGGCATGGCATAGTTTTTGGGAAATTTGCTGGAATCCTAATAGTTTGACACAATGCTGATGTTTGTCAACCTCTGGAATCGGTTATAGTTCTCATCCAACACAACATTTCCATTTATTAACAATAATTCAATTTTGGATTAGGCCAAATAGCAATCGAGCCAAATTTCTGTGGCAAGACCGTTCACCACAATAATCAACATCACCATCAGGAACATTAGCATCAGCACCTCCAGCAGGAGAACACCGATATTAACATCACTACTCAGTATAACACGTAGGCTTTTGCCACCAATATTATTCAATATTATATATGAAATGTGTCGTAACCTCCACCAACCGATGCAGCGAGTAAGGTTTGTCATAAAAACAACGCGCCAATTAGTTACTACTTCAGCCCACCGGTGTGTTGGAGAGTAAATCTACAACATTAATAATTTGAATACGAACGTTTCGCTGGTAATTACATCCAGCATCACTACTATCACAATTAACATCCTCAGGACCATCACCACCATCATCAGGAAGGAAGTCCATGACCACCATCATCAGGAACAGCATCACCACCACCATTATCAGCATCATTACCACCAGCAACATAACCAGCACCACCAGCAGGAGTAACACCGATACTAACATCACTACTATCACAATTAACATCCTCAGCACCATAACTACCATAATAATAATCATCAGGAAGTGCATGGCCACCATCATCAGTAACAAGAGCACCGACATTATTATCACCAACATCATCACCAACATCATCAACAACAAAACAACAACAGTAGCAGCAGTGTCAGCACTAGCACCATTAGCAACATGAGCACCAAAATCACAACCATCATGATCATGAACATTAGCATGAGCACCGTCATTGGCATCCTAATCATCACCACCAGCAAGAATAGCACAACAATCATCATCAGACATACCACCAGCACCATCATTATCATCACCACCACCACCATCATCATCATTACCACCAACATAACTGGCAGCATCACCACCATCATCAATTACTTAGCAACTATCATCAACATCAAGATCACCAACACCATCATCATCAACCAGCATAATCGTCAACACTATCATCAACGCCACCAACAGCATCACTATCACCAGCAACATCACCATCAACAACAGTGCAATGACTACCACCAACACCATGATCAAAGAGCATCATCACCATCATCACAATCACCACCAACATCACCACAATCACCAGCAACATCAACACCAGCACCACCAACATGACCACCATCAGCAACATCTCCACCATCACAACAATCACCAGCAACATCAACACCACCATCACCACCACCACCACCACAAACAACACCACCATCACCACCAGCAACAACATGATCACCAACACCCATCAGCATACATTCACAGCGCGCCACCGCCGCCACAACCACCGCCGCCACAACCACCGCCGCCACAACCACCGCCGCCACAACCACCGCCGCCACAACCACCGCCGCCACAGCCACCGCCGCCACAGCCACCGCCGCCACAGCCACCACCACCGCCACAACCACCGCCACCGATTTAGGCCGCAAACCAGAAAAGCGGGGCCCCGCCAGGCCCGACGTAATTCGGCACGGCTGGCGCGAGCCTCACCCAGGCAGAAGTGTCCGCCGACCAGTGGGCCCTCGACGTCGGCCAGGCAGACGGTGAGGCCCGACTCCCTTGAGCGGAACTTCTTCACGGAGATGTTTCCCGTGGCGCACACCTCGCTCTCCAAGTCAAAGTTGCCGGTGTAGGGCGCCATGCTGCCCCGCTACCACGACGACGGAAAGACTTGGCGGTTAATTGCGTTGTTGCGCTTTCGTAGCAGAAGGATATAATAATAATAAGGGGGAAAATACGTCAATAAAGCGAATAACAGAGACAATTTTTGTTCGTTTGTTTTTGTGTTAATCAAGAAAGTTATATTTACAGTATGGGTTTGTCTGTGCGTCATTTACTTCATGAATGTTTTTTTTGTATCGGTGTGGAATCGGCGGTGGGTGAATGTGGTGAGAAGTACTGAGCGGGCTGTTATCGTGTGCCATGCTTCACGATGGACATTGTTTAACTCACCGACGCGTGTGTTGACAATCGCACAGAAAACAAATCTCAAAGTTACTTATTTTGTTTTTACATTAACAAGGCACGGGGATTACCGCGTGCGTTCAATAATGCGATATTGCACTATTTTCGCCACGTAATAGTTGCGCCGAATTCTTAGGTTCCAATGCCACGTGTGTGTAAACATCGACCTCAACCCCTTATCAGTACCCTAACTTATTACAGATCACTTCACACCGTATTGGTCACCCCGTGCTCATAAATATCAACGTTCATCCTACAAAGTCCAATCACAAGGAAGAAACACAAATATACTTTATTTGCACGTATTGAAACGGCTGTACGCCGTATGGACCTGAAAACTCAAAATTTCCCTGTACAAGAATACGGGGTAAACTGGGTTAACAGGTATAGTAGTGTATAGTAGTGTAATGTTTAGTAGTGTTTAGTGCAGTGTATAGTAGTTCGTAGCATACCTGTCAGCCCCTGATCAGTGCCGACCTTATTAACAGACAAATTCAGACCGTATTGGTCATCCCGTGTCCTTGTACATCTCAACCTTCACACTACAAAGTCCAAATCACAAGGGAGAAACGCAAACACATAGACATGTTTAGTTGTACAGTATTGAAACGTCTGGACGCCGTATGGACCTTAAAACTAAATTTCCCCTGTACTATAAAACGAGTTCACCGTATGGGTTTCCAGCTGTGTCAAGACCAGGTGTACGGGGTTTTAAATGTGTACGGGGTTTTAAATATGGACTAGAGTAATAGGACAAACCCGGACACATTTCTCAAGCCACGTTAGGTCTCATTCTTGGTTCTTTCGGTAAAGTCACGTAGAAGGGAAACAATAAAATAATAAAAATATAAAACAATAAAATTCTCACGACGTTTCGACTGCAACACAAGCAATCGTCATCAGGTGATGATGTTTCGACTGCAACACAAGCAATCATCATCACCTGATGATGATGATTGCTTGTGTCACCTGATGATGATTGCTTGTGTTGCAGTCGAAATGTCGTGAGAATTTTATTGTTTTATATTTTTATTATTTTCATCACCTGATGATGATTGATTGTGTTGCAGTCGAAACGTCGTGAGAATTTTATTGTTTTATATTTTTATTATTTTATTGTTTCCCTTCTACGTGACTTTACCGAAAGAACCAAGAATATGAATCCCTGCAGTCACGAAAGCTTTAAATCTAAATTTTCACGTTAGGTCTGTCAAAACTGTTGCAGTATACCATGATCAAGCTGAGCACCGTATCGCCGTGCAGAGATCAGCTGTTACCGCCTGAACGGGGATGCCAATTCACGGACTGTCCCGTAAAACGAGGACAGGTCATATTTTAACCACTGAAGTTATTTTTATGTTTCTTACAAAGAGAGACGCAAACCTCGATGCAAAACTAAGTACTGGTACACAGACCAGTAAACGTGCAACTTTGAACCAAAGTTGCATTTTTGCTGGGAAACTTGTAGATATGGATCTGAGATCTGTGTATCTGACTTGTAGATTGTGTATCTGTGATCTGTGTATCTCACTTGTAGATTGTGTATCTGTGATCTGTGTATCTGACGTGTAGATTGTGTATCTGAGATCTGTGTATCTGACATGTAGATTGTGTATCTGAGATCTGTGTATCTGACTTGTAGATTGTGTATCTGTGATCTGTGTATCTGACGTGTAGATTGTGTATCTGAGATCTGTGTATCTGAGTTGTAGATTGTGTATCTGTGATCTGTGTATCTGACGTGTAGATTATGTATATGAGATCTGTGTATCTGACTTGTAGAATGTGTATCTGTGTATCTCACTTGTAGATTGTGTATCTGTGATCTGTGTATCTGACTTGTAGATTGTGTGTCTGAGATCTGTGTATCTGACTTGTAGATTGTGTATCTGTGATCTGTGTATCTGACGTGTAGTTGTGTATCTGATATCTGTGTATCTGACGTGTAGTTGTGTAACTGATATCCGTGTATCTGACTTGTAGATTGTGTATCTGTGATCTGTGTATCTGAGTTGTAGATTGTGTATCTGTGATCTGTGTATCTGACGTGTAGATTGTGTATCTGAGATCTGTGTATCTGACTTGTAGATTGTGTATCTGTGTATCTCACTTGTAGATTGTGTATCTGTGATCTGTGTATCTGACGTGTAGATTATGTATCTGAGATCTGTGTATCTGACTTGTAGATTGTGTATCTGTGTATCTCACTTGTAGATTGTGTATCTGTGATCTGTGTATCTGAGTTGTAGTTGTGTATCTGAGATCTGTGTATCTGACGTGTAGATTGTGTATCTGTGATATGTGTATCTGACTTGTAGATTGTGTATCTGTGATCTGTGTATCTGACGTGTAGTTGTGTATCTGATATCTGTGTATCTGACGTGTAGTTGTGTATCTGATATCTGTGTATCTGACGTGTAGATTGTGTATCTGTGTATCTGACGTGTAGATTGTGTATCTGAGATCTGTGTATCTGACGTGTAGTTGTGTATCTGTGATCTGTGTATCTGACGTGTAGATTGTGTATCTGAGATCTGTGTATCTCACTTGTAGTTGTGTATCTGTGATGTGTGTATCTGACGTGTAGATTGTGTATCTGAGATCTGTGTATCTGACTTGTAGATTGTGTATCTGATATCTGTGTATCTGACGTGTAGTTGTGTATCTGTGATCTGTGTATCTGACGTGTAGATTGTGTATCTGAGATCTGTGTATCTGACTTGTAGATTGTGTATCTGATATCTGTGTATCTCACTTGTAGTTGTGTGTCTGTGATCTGTGTATCTCACTTGTAGATTGTGTATCTGTGATCTGTGTATCTGAGTTGTAGATTGTGTATCTGATATCTGTGTATCTGACGTGTAGTTGTGTATCTGTGATCTGTGTATCTGATGTGTAGATTGTGTATCTGAGATCTGTGTATCTGACTTGTAGATTGTGTATCTGATATCTGTGTATCTCACTTGTAGTTGTGTATCTGTGATCTGTGTATCTGACGTGTAGATTGTGTATCTGTGATTTGTGTATCTGAGTTGTAGTTGTGTATCTGAGATCTGTGTATCTGACTTGTAGATTGTGTATCTGAGATCTGTGTATCTCACTTGTAGATTGTGTAGCTGTGATCTGTGTATCTGACGTGTAGATTGTGTATCTGAGATCTGTGTATCTGACTTGTAGATTGTGTATCTGTGATCTGTGTATCTGACGTGTAGATTGTGTATCTGAGATCTGTGTATCTGACGTGTAGATTGTGTATCTGAGATCTGTGTATCTGACTTGTAGATTGTGTATCTGATATCTGTGTATCTCACTTGTAGTTGTATATCTGTGATCTGTGTATCTGACGTGTAGATTGTGTATCTGTGTATCTGACGTGTAGATTGTGTATCTGAGATCTGTGTATCTGACGTGTAGTTGTGTATCTGTGATCTGTGTATCTGACGTGTAGATTGTGTATCTGTGATCTGTGTATCTGACGTGTAGTTGTGTATCTGTGATCTGTGTATCTGACTTGTAGATTGTGTATCTGTGTATCTCACTTGTAGATTGTGTATCTGTGATCTGTGTATCTGACATATAGTTGTGTATCTGATATCTGTGTATCTGACGTGTAGTTGTGTATCTGATATCTGTATATCTGACGTGTAGATTGTGTATCTGAGATCTGTGTATCTGACTTGTAGATTGTGTATCTGATATCTGTGTATCTGACGTGTAGTTGTGTATCTGTGATCTGTGTATCTGACGTGTAGATTGTGTATCTGAGATCTGTGTATCTGACTTGTAGATTGTGTATCTGAGATCTGTGTATCTGACTTGTAGTTGTGTATCTGTGATGTGTGTATCTGACGTGTAGATTGTGTATCTGAGATCTGTGTATCTGACTTGTAGATTGTGTATCTGATATCTGTGTATCTGACGTGTAGTTGTGTATCTGTGATCTGTGTATCTGACATGTAGATTGTGTATCTGAGATCTGTGTATCTGACTTGTAGATTGTGTATCTGATATCTGTGTATCTCACTTGTAGTTGTGTGTCTGTGATCTGTGTATCTCACTTGTAGATTGTGTATCTGTGATCTGTGTATCTGAGTTGTAGATTGTGTATCTGATATCTGTGTATCTGACGTGTAGTTGTGTATCTGTGATCTGTGTATCTGATGTGTAGATTGTGTATCTGAGATCTGTGTATCTGACTTGTAGATTGTGTATCTGATATCTGTGTATCTCACTTGTAGTTGTGTATCTGTGATCTGTGTATCTGACGTGTAGATTGTGTATCTGTGATTTGTGTATCTGAGTTGTAGTTGTGTATCTGAGATCTGTGTATCTGACTTGTAGATTGTGTATCTGAGATCTGTGTATCTCACTTGTAGATTGTGTAGCTGTGATCTGTGTATCTGACGTGTAGATTGTGTATCTGAGATCTGTGTATCTGACTTGTAGATTGTGTATCTGTGATCTGTGTATCTGACGTGTAGATTGTATATCTGAGATCTGTGTATCTGACTTGTAGATTGTGTATGTGAGATCTGTGTATCTGACGTGTAGATTGTGTATCTGATATCTGACGTGTAGTTGTGTATCTGTGATCTGTGTATCTGACGTGTAGATTGTGTATCTGAGATCTGTGTATCTGACGTGTAGGTTGCGTATCTGAGATCTGTGTATCTGACGTGTAGGTTGTGTATCTGAGATCTGTGTATCTGACTTGTAGATTGTGTATCTGTGATCTGTGTATCTGACTTGTAGATTGTGTATCTGAGATCTGTGTATCTGACTTGTAGATTGTGTATCTGAGATCTGTGTATCTGACGTGTAGATTGTGTATCTGATATCTGTGTATCTGACGTGTAGATTGTGTATCTGAGACCTGTGTATCTGACTTGTAGATTGTGTATCTGATATCTGTGTATCTCACTTGTAGTTGTATATCTGTGATCTGTGTATCTGACTTGTAGATTGTGTATCTGAGATCTGTGTATCTGACTTGTAGATTGTGTATCTGAGATCTGTGTATCTGACGTGTAGATTGTGTATCTGATATCTGTGTATCTCACTTGCGTGCGCGTCCATAGGTACACATAAACACGCGCTTGCTGCAGACACACACACAACTTTCAGGGTGCGTTCGGCAGTAAACGACTGAAATAATAAAGCAATGCTGCGCGAAGAACGCCTTAGACCTGCAACACATTTGTATGGCACTTTTCTCGTGGAGGGTTGGTGGGGGGGTGCGTGACATGAGCAGGCACACTCCGTGACGCTTCCACATGCGCGGGTCACATGACAGATGGGACGTCACAGCTCACTTGTCGTGCAAAATATATTCATTATTGGGCCCCCCCCCAAAAAAAATATAAACAAAAGTCTATTTTTATAATTCTTGCATGGTGTACAGTCTGGAAAGTACCCACATGGCAAATTTCAAGTTTGTTGCATGTCGGGAAGAACGCTAAACATTTTGAACAGACACATTCACAAATTTCCCTTTCATATATAGATGAAGGCACAGCCCTGCAATTGCTCATAGGTGGAAGTACCTTAAATTTAGATAGATCTAGAGAGCCCCTCTCGAGGGAATTTTGGCCTACTGCCTGCTGTCCAGAAGTCTTGAAAGATGTGTATTGGTGATGGAAAGTACCCACACTTTACCCCACCACACGACCTTGCCATTGATTCAAACCCTTTCGTTATATATTATTGCGTGTGTATGCACCACGTGATGCAGAAAGCATCGATTAACATATAAATCGTGTGTGTACCTCGCATGTATTGATTGCTGATTTAATTTAAACTAAGAAATATGGTACGCATACGTGTGTACGTGTAAGTGTGTGTGCACTATACGCCACGTGGTATGTGTTGAGCAATCATAAGGTGCGTGCAGTGTGTTTATTGATTACATATGTACAGTATTAACCAAGAAGATCACAAATGTAATCCTGAATTCTGGGCAGTGGTGGTGCTGGCCCATTGGGGGCCCAAAGCAGAAATCATATTTCGGCCTCCCCATTTGCAAATGACCAATATGATGTGAGATATAGGCAATAAATTGACATCTACTGGACATCTGATGGGCTTAGACAAAATACAGAGCTGAAGTGAGGACTAAAGAAGAGACAGAGTTGAGACAGATGTAGTGAAATGAGAGATGTAGACAAGATACAAAGATGGAGTTAAATGAGGGAAGACAGATTACAGATAGGAAAGGGATGAACGCATTACGATGTTATATTAATTTTCTCGTTACACTTCATGTTCTCGTTATGTTAATGCACTTCTTGTATGTTTATTAGGATTTTAATTGGAACTGATATTTGGCTCACCCCTATTTTTTTTCACGAGTCGCTTGCGACCCCTTGCTTCGTTTGCATATGTCGAGATCCACAATCGATGCTGCTGGGTCGCATGGGCTGGAGTTTTGGGAATCCGTTTGCTTCATGGTATTTTAAGAAAGTGTTGCCGACAGCAGACAGGTTAAGACTTCAAATTGGCTCAGTTCACTGATTTCAGCAAAGAAAATTCCTACCAGATGTATTGAGGTGATAGCCTTATGGGTTAACCTAAAAGGTCAAGGAAGCAAGCCTCGGGCTGCCATTATACGTGTCAGATATTGTAAATGTTGTTCTTGACACGTTCTAATAACCGCGGAATGCGTTGCATTGTTTGGTGTTTTTAAACTGTTTTTTTTACAACGTTGTCCTTTCGTGGCACAAAGTGTGGCTGTTGTCTCTCACAAGAGTTAGTGGTGATTTTCCTGGGTGTCCAGTGGCGTCTGTAAATGGAATCGCTGGAGATGGGATACGTGAACGGCATTCCTCCGACAAAAGTATTTTTGTCCTCAACACTGGACTGCAAACTTCAAAGGCGTGTTGATTTATAACGACACATTTTTCAGAACCGTTTCTGTTGTCATGTCGCTATCACAGCGTATTTTTTTGTATTTCTTTTGTAAATTAACTTGGAATATTTAAACCCACGGACAACATTAATGGTGAGTCATATCTGAACCGGTCCTGAGCTCCCCGGTTACCACTTTTCCAACTAATACTGACCAGTGTATGGTGAAGTATGGTCAAACAACCCGCACGACTGACACAACGTGGGGAGGTCTCCATCCAGCAGTAGATCGACGAAGGGATCTCTTTTTTACCATATATGTAGCACCACTCTTTACCCCTAACGGGATGCATAGTCTGCAAAACTAATCAAAATTACCAACATCGCTAAGGCTCCAGCGAAGATACAGCCGGCCCTGTTTTGGCAACAAACCTTCCGTTTACACCAAAAAAAAAAACACAGGACATTGTTTTCGTTGAGTTAGGGTCATTTTCGAGATGAATGGATCGCCCCGGCTCTCTCTTGCTCTGACAATAGCCCACACGACCCCCCCCCCCTGCTTACAATTTATGCAGTCCGTTTAATGCAGTGAAAGGTGAGTGGGCGGCTGCGTGCTGGGACGCATTGCGAGGTAGGGAAGTGACCCGGCTGAGTGGGGTTGTTGGTGTGGTGCGTGTGTGTTTGGGGGGGTGGGATTGAGGGGGGTGTATATAAGGCGAGGTGGGGGGAGGGGTATACGTTTGAGTGTGAAGGGGGTGTCTGTGTGTGGGTGGGGAGGTGTGGGTTGGAGGGGGTGTGGGTGGATTCACCGAACGTGTCAAAGAGGGAGGCAGTAGTCTAGTAGTTAGCGTATTGCGCTGCGAACCCGGCCACCAGAGTTCGATTTTCAATAACAGTGGTGGATATTTTAATCGGTCCTGGGCCTCCCACTACGTCGACTCAGCCTTAAATTCCTCAAATGAGTAAACATCAGCACTGGAGAGACAAAGGCGGCTGAGCGTGGTGTTGGCCTTTTGTGAGCCGTGCCGGTCATCATAGGTGCTCGCTGACAACACTTGCCCTAAAGATCTTGGGAGATCTTTGTTTGTGGGACTGAATGAGAGTTCGTGTTTGTAGGTGTGTCTGTGCGTGTGAGAGTGGATGGGGGCATTTGTGAATGAGTTAGAGAGAGTCTTGGGTGAGTGGGTGTGAGTGCGTGAATGTGTGCGATGGTGAGTGAGTGAGTGAATGTGAGTTAGAGAGTCCTGGGTGATTGGGTGTGAGTGAATGTGCGTGTGTGTGGCGGGGAGCGGTAGTGCAGCGGTTAGCGCGCTGTGCTTCGAACCCAGGTTCGACACAAGTGACGATTATCTGGAACCGGTCGTGGGCCTCGCTTAGGTCGACTCAGCCTCAAACGAGAACTTGGTGCGGTGTTCCGTGCCGGCCTTCGCAGGTGCTCGCTAACAGCACTTGCTCCTACAATCCGTTAAGGCTTTAACGGGTGACCTTTGTCTTTGCTTGTGGAATGGATGGATGCGTAAGCGAGTGAGTGAATGAGCACGTGAATGTGCGTTAGATAGAGGGAGTCTCTGGTAGGTGTGTGTATGTGCGTACGAGTTGGTTGGGTTGGGTGGGTGCTTGAATGAGTGGAGTGTTGAATGCCTGTGCGTGGCTATGCTGGAGGTGGAGTGAGAGGGAGGGAGAGTTCTGGATGGGTGGGTGGGTGGTTGGCTGAGTGGTGAGTGGATAGTCACTACCGACTTGTAAGTGGGTTGGGTGGGTGGCTCTCTCTCTCTCTCTCCCTCTCTCTGGCCATTGAGAGGGAAAAGCGACCTGGCAGTCATTGGTCTTGCACTGCAACCCACACGACCGGTAACAAGTGGCGAACATTCCCCGGCTGGGTGCAGAACCGACACGCGGATAAACATTGGCTTTCAAATAACCCAGTCCCCATCAGGTCCCGTCTGCGGAGCTTCATATGAAACGTGTAGACCAATGCAGCCTTTAAAGTTCCACTAACGGTGATTTAGCTGTTATTTGTTGTTGTGTCGGCAAGCCAGTAAGTGAGCAAGCCGACACGCCAGACGATCCACGTGCAAGATTTCACAAAGCAGAAACATAGGTGCGCACGGCAGGGCAACGTTTGCGTTATCACAGCGAGTATGGGCTGGCACGCGACAGTGAAGTGGAAGACTAAAAGATGGGACTCGGCTTTGAGTTTGATCTCGGCGATGTGCGTCCTGCAACACGCGTGGCCGGCACATGCAGGTGAGTGCGCGCAAAGGCGATGCGTGAACGATACTTTTTAGCCACTTTTAATTTTTTTTAGTTTTTAATTGTTGCGACGATGTGTCTGTGTCTTGCCGCTGACCATTGCCGCTGCTGTAATGCCGTTGAGATCAAGTTCACCGAGCGTCTAACCATGCACGACGACGCTCAATCGCCCTGAGCTGCGCATGAACCTTGGCTGCATTGTCCCCGATGTTTGTCCTGTTATTTTCAATGAAAAGTTTGGGGGTTTGCGTTTTGTGATCCGTTGTATATGTGCGCGTGTGTGTGCGTGCGTGCGTGTCCGCGACCCAAAGCTGTCTAACTTTCAATTCTAGATTCTAGATTTGAAGCTTTATTGACACCGACCGGTGCCAATTACTTGTTTGGGTTGCGTCTTACTCTCTGGAGCGTCTTATAATCGGCAGAAAACGGCGTATACAGGGCTGATCCATTTATAGATACCCCATCGAAATAACTTTTCAGTATGGAGGAAATTACATTTTTATTTCAAGGCGTCTTGACGTCTCCCACCGGTCTCACCACACGTCTTAAACCGTTCAACTCCCTCCTCTGTAAGATACGGAGCCGTCGCTCTCACGCTAATCAATCGACCTGTGATAATAAAGTGGTGGACAGAAATCAGTGGGGGCGTCTATAAATGGATCGCTCTGTATATACGGAACACAATGTGGTATTTATAGCAAACGGGATATTGGCTTTGGGTGTCTGTGTTCTGCAGGGGCTTGCACTAAATATATATAGAGAGATGATTGACAGCGCTTGGCTTTCCAAATGCACGTTGTTGAACACTTGCCACATACATTTTTGAGATTTAAAGCTTTCGTGACTGCAGTGATTCATATTCTTGGTTCTTTTGGTAAAGTTACGTTAATCTCAAGTGTGCATGCTTTAACAGAAAGCAGCTCGTGTGAGTCGTGAGTGTACAGAGTGAACTTATTTTAGATGACAAATACAACTCTTTGTGAATCCACTGCTGGACGAAGGCCTCACAAAATCGTGTCTATCATGGGGGAGGGGGGGGGTTGTTTGACCATACTTCACCACACTGGTCAGTGAAGCGGGCTGGTGAAGAGTGGAGGCTCTCAGGGAACCTGTTCCAGATACCGCTCGCGGCTGATGTTGGCCGCGTCTAGGAATCGAACTCAGGTTACCGGGTTCATAAAGAGTTTTATACAATAAAGGTAGTTTATCATGCTTGTTACATGCAAGCGCGTGTTTTATCAGACTTGAACATTACTGGAGTCTGAATTTTGCACGCTCTAGTATGCTGTGTGTGTGTAAAGATGCAAGAGTGTCTTTCATTAGCAATTTGTACGCACGCCAACAGCTTGACACGGATGCATAGCTCGCCAATGTAATCAAACAAGTATCGGAAACAGCGCATTAAGGTCTGTTATGTCTTTGTATAATCTGTGGCTAGTGTCTGGTGAGCACCTGGTCAGGGGTGGTGTCTGTGCAGTGTGTCAGATCACTGGTGAGTGGTCAGTGGTGTAAAGTGGCAGGTGAGTGTCTGGTGAGTGTGCTTTATCAGGTGAGTATAGTGTGTGTCCAGTTATATGATTGAAGTTTAGGGGAGCCGCCTTTGGGCCGAGTTGAATAAAGATTCAGATTATGAATACGTGGATTGCTAGCATGCGTTGCACAGCTGTAGTGATTCTCAATTACTTGGCATGAAAGAATGCGAAACGGGAGACACTAATTGGCTTAATGGAGTAGCTAATGCAAAACAAATGGATAGTTACAATGAACTGCATGGCTGTCCCTCGTCATGACCCAAGCCACCACAAAGAGCCAAACCAAGGACTAGGCATATCGCACAATCGTTTTAAAAAGCATAACACAACGAATACAGCCATCTTAAATAACATAAACCCACAAGGTACACCCACCCCCATCAAACCTACCACGTTGCAAATTAAAACCACAAAGCTTGTGCTCAACTAACCACACTCCCTCACACCTGTCCATTATCAACTTAAACTCACCATGCACAAAAGAAACCTTACATTCATGAAACGCACAATAGTCTAAAGTCAACGTAATTTCCTGCTCAAATGAGCCCTGAGCCCAGGGGTGGAAAATTCCACAATCCTATGACAGGGAGCAAGTCTATCTTCAGGACAACCACTGTTAAAATACGTGCATATTGTACGAATAACGTGGTAGCCAGGGCCTTTTGTTTTTGTTCAACCAGTAGCAGATTACTGTAATGGTGAGGAAAATTTATATCAAGAAAGAAATCTCAACAAAAAGAGTTTAGTTCTTGCCGCCAAACAGGAGTTGGGGGGGGGGGTTGTGGAAAAATAGTATGCACACAGTAGGAGGGATGGTGCAAGTGACAGCTTAATGTGGTGGGTGTCATTCTTGTCCTCAATGCGTGAGGCCATGCCAGACACTGTTTAGAGATATACATTACCGGCGGTTTACATTTTTGTTTGCACTCACCGTTTGTGGCAAAAAAAAAATCGATGACTTTCACCGCATAGCCATGCGTCTTGGCCATATGCACGTCATTTTTGCCGAGGTGTGCTTGAGATTAATAATGATTGTTACCCGTTTACCCAGGAAAGCCACATCGTGACCGAAGGCCCTTCTTCGGGAGGATTCTCAATTGGGATTTGTGGCCAACCAAAGACAGTGCTGTGGCAGCAAACACAGAGAACCCAGAGGAAACGACTGGAGAACAGGGGGACATGCACGAAAGGTGCCCGAGTCAGGAGTCGAACTCTGATCCGTCTTGCCATGAGATACAAGCAAGCGTTACCACTGCACCCACCATCTTTATTCTATAGCTGGGCTTATCCGATTATTTAAATCATCGATGTTTTTTGCTCATCGAATAACACAAAAAATATATTTTTAAAAAGTAGTCTCACCTCTGTTCCCACAAGTGCCGCTGGTTGGGAGGTAGTGGGTGGGGCTTTGTGACGTCATCATCAGCTGCATCATGCTGGGCGTGGCTTGTAGGGGGTTTCCTACCTTGAGAAAGCAGGACATTGTGTTGGTCACCGCTTTTAAAAGGGACCGAGTAATCGACCCCAACCAAGTACAGGAGTAGATTAGACATTTTTACGGACTATTCGAATGATTATCCCAGCTCAACTTGACATTGATTGGTTTTTAGTTTGTTTACGCCTGTAAATTTTGTTTAATGTGCAGTCGTTTGCATGTGCATGTTCGAAGGAGGCGTGTTTGTACGCATGTGCTGTGATAAAGCAACTCCTCTCATTTAAATGTTGGCCATCCAAGCAGTATGCAGTAGCGAATACGGGTGTCGGAGTGATCACGCACCATTTGGGTTAATGCTTTAATACTGCTGGTGCAGACATGTAATATGACAAATGCTTCTTCAAATTAATTTCACATATAACCTGTGCAAGTATAATACTAATTGTTCTTGCGGTGTACATATATATGGTATTGTTTCCAGTCAGTGGCGTGGCTGGCATGGGCTCTGGTGCAGGATATTAAATGAGGGTCCCCTATCCAATTTACACCTTCGTGTAGTCTAGCGCATGCCCCCCCCCCCCAAATCTGTGGGCCCCAATGCAGTCGCACCGCCTATACACCCAGTAGCTACGCCGGCAGTAATGGACATTGTTGAGTTTTATGTTGCGGCCCACTTACTTAGCGAAACTTTACGCTGGAAAATGCAATGCTTTCCACATCAACCGCAAGCGAAATGTGGGGGTTTGATCCTCCACCCCCCCCCCCCCCCCCGTCAATGACAGCTCCCAGTCAGATGTCACTTTCTTCAAAAAGTCTAATGCACAATGACTGTCGAAGGATTTGGCCCCAAGGGTCTGCAATGCAAGTGAAACCCTCCTCCCTAAGTCACTCTTGCAGTTGCGCCTGCCTGTTATGTGTAAGTACTTGATTATACGGCACTGGCGGGGCAGTGGCGCAGTGGTTAATGCACTCTGCCCTGAACCCGATGACCTAAGTTCGATTCCCGGCGACGGTTAAAGACTGGCGAGCGTTATCCGAACCAGTCCTCGATCTCATTCTACTTCTGCAGCATACAGAAGCCTTCATCCAGCAGTGGATTGACAAAGGGGTATTAGTTGGATGCCACGAATACTGAATAAATAATGTACACCCCTTGGTCAATCCACTGCTGGATGAAAGTCTTCCCACACCGTGTCAGACATGGGAGTTATTTAACCATACTTCAGTATGCTATTCATTCAGTAAGAGTCTGTGCTGCACCTGATTTAATATATTTATACAATGGAATTGTAAAGAGCTTCAAAATAAAAAAAAAGTTGATTGTATGTTTGGAGCTCGTGTTTATTCCCTTTCAATGCAGTTGATGGCTTTACTTTACAATTATGTTACATCCCATTGCGCTGTGAAAGTCTGTGCTCTATTCACCACATGGTCAATGCCACTGAATTTTAAGAAGTAATTTAGACATTGGTGGACCGGCGGTGCAGTGGTTAGCGTACTGCATAACGAGCCCAGGGAGCCGAGTTCAAATGCCAGCCAAGGCTAACATCAGTGGCGAGTGATATGGGAACCAGCCTGGGGTCCCATTCTCCCTCCACCAACCTGTACTGACCAGTGAGGGTAAATATGGCCATATAAAACCCACAGGAACGACACGCTATGGGGGGGCCTTCATCCATCAGTTGAATGACAAAGGGCTGTAAATGACTATAGATTAACAGGTCCCTGCAGGGTGGGCTGGTAGGAACATTGGCAAAGTAACGTCACGGTGCCTTCGAACTTCGCCTCGCAAATGGTATTCGGCTGTGGGCTGTGTGTGAATTTGCCACATCCCCAAAAGCGAAGTTCGCAAATCAGATAATGTGACTTCCAAATGTTGGGTGCAATAAGACATATCAAGTCTCTGCGCTGTCTATTGCTGATTTTACACCCAACAGCACGAGATTTCACTTCGTTAAAGTATTGAAAGGGGACGGACGGACAGACACATTAATCTATTGCAGGCTGGTACACTCAGTTTACAACTT